ATGGTGCCTTGAATGATGAAGTGTATTTATAAATATGACTTGTTAACATAAGAATAGTGACAATAATAGTGAACACTAGTTGAATTTCTTCTACAAGTCAGGCTCTGTACATATATTATCTCATTTAATCCTTGCAACCCTATGAGATGGTGATTGTATATTAACCTCACTTTACAGAAGGGGAAACTAAGGCACAGAGTGTGGTTCAGAAACTTGCCCCAGGTCATAGTAAATGGCAAAGCCAGAATTAAACCCAGGCTCTCTGCAGAGCCATGTCTAGCTGCTCTGCTCTGGTGTCTCCTGTCTTCAGGCTTCTGAATTCTCCTCCTGCCCTGCAGCCCAGGGGACTCTGTGTTCTGTTCGTGGCAAACAAAGGACTTAAGAATAGAGAGGATTTGGAAATGAGATGAAACCTATTAAGTTTGCTTCTAGAAGTTTGCTTAAGTCTGTTAAGAACTATTATAATAAGGTCTTGGACTTCTGGGGAATGTTGTCTAGGCCTTCCTAAGTTGTGTTTTGGACACTGTATAAGTACTTGGACATTCTCAAATCCTAGCCTTGGGACATGTTCTGTTTTCCCAGTTGACTTTCTACAGGCAAGTTCTTTCAGTTCACAGGATCCTGATGCTTGTGAGAGCTTTTCCTCCAGGAACCGCAGCTTCTATCAGAACTTTGACTTTGCTCGGTAAGCAGCTCTTCCCCTCTTTATAAACTGTAAACTTGTACTTCAGGAGGCCTACCAAGAGCAATGCCAGAAGGGAGACTGTCTGACAACTGAATCTTGTGGACAGGTTATCTGCTGGGATATTAGTAATCCTTGCTTTTAATACTCATGATTCTGAGAGAAACCTTAGTCACCTGGTTTCCCCTGCTCTCTCTGCTTTGTTTGCCCCCAGTAACAACAGATACTCTTTCCTAAACCCCAGAGAGTTACACAGCATCCTTGCTCATCCATTTTACTGTTTAAGAACTTTTGCTCTGAGGGCGCCTGAGTGGCTCAGTTGGTTAAGCGACTGCCTTCGGCTCAGGTCATGATCCCAGGGTCCTGGGATCAAGTCCCACATCAGGCTCCCTGCTCTGCGGGGAGCCTGCTTCTCCCTCTCCCCCTCCTCCTGCTGGTGTTCCCTCTCTCGCTGTGTCTCTCTCTGTCAAATAAATAAATAAAATCTAAAAAAAAAAAAAAAAAAGAACTTTTGCTCTGATGAAACTCCTCTCATGTCAGACCTAAATTCCTTATGCTGCTTGTTTGTGTAACTGAACTTCGCTGGTGCAATATATAAAATAAGAAGTTTTTCATCAATTCCCAGCTGAAATAGACTCCTGACTAGAGTGCATCACTCAGGCCAGTATCCTAACATCCGTAGCTGTGGTCCTTGCAGGCTGTGTCACTTACCAGCTGTGGGGCCTTGGCCAAGATGCCTCATCTCCCTGAGCTTTCATTTCCTCGTGTGTGAAAGAAAGGTGTTTGGGGCGCCTAGGTGGCTCAGTTGGTTAAGCATCTACCTTCGCCTAAGGTCAGACTCTGGTCAGCAGAGAGTCTGCTTCTCCCTCTCACTCTCCCTCTGTGCACGCACTCTCTTTCTCAAATAAATAAAATCTTTAAAAAATAAAAAATAGGTGTTCGAATCCACAGTTCTTGTTTATTTTAGAATAACCACCCAAAAGCAATGTGAGATAATCACATGTCAAAGAACTGAACCATGTTCACTACACTAAGGTTACTAAGGCATTTTAGAATTTTAGGAAAGACTTTTTTTTTTAATAAGCTAGAATATCTAATTTCACAAGAGTTCAGCCTTGTTTAAATTACCATTCACTGTAGTTTCCTATTGCTAGGCACTGTAATCACACTATCTCAAGTCCTCACAAATATATTCTCAAAGATGTGTGAAATGAACCCCAATTTGCAGAAGCAAACAAATTTAATTTTCCCCAGATTAAACGTGTAGTAAGTGATGGAGTTAGACATGAACCCAGGCTTGGTAGACCTGATGCCCAATTATTTCCCCACACCCTCCCTAGCGGTTTTAGACCCTGATAAGATGCGGGAGCAAAAATTCTGGCCACAAGTTACAACAGGATCATGCTATAAGATTAATGGGCAGTGGTTAGCAGATTTTGAAATTAGGTTTTTAAACTGCTAGGAGCTTGTTAAAAGATGAGTAAGAAAAGAGGAAACGGTTATAACTGAGTTTCAAATGCCAGGGAGCAGAAGAGAAGAGCAGCCAGGTGGTCGAGAGCTAGGAGTCCCCTCTAAGCTGCGGTCACCAGAGGCCTAGGCAGCCATCAGCTGCCATCTGGGTCAAACCTGGGACCTTAGCTGGCTGTGGGTGAAGAGAGGCTCAAAGAAAACAGGCTTGCTCCATGCGCAATTTTTTTTGTTTTATTTAAGTAATCTCTACACCCAACACAGGGCTCGAACTGACGACCAGAAGTCAGGAGTCACATGCTCCTCCAACTGAGCCTTCCGGGGCCCCAATTTTTTTTAAGCTCTATTGAATACTATTACCAGCTTACGTTTTTCAACATAGTCATTACTTTAGGTAGTAGTTGATACTACCTGCCTTTCTTTACTTTCCAAAACGTATCCTGGACTCCTCTATTTTATCTGTCTCTGGCAACAAAGCCTCTAACAAGTGTTTCTGGAGAAAGGTCCTCTTCGGACCATACTTCTCAGTTGGGAAAGTACTAGGAACCATTCCTTGTTCCCCTGCTTAAATAGGGTACCGGTAGCAAGATCCTATTTCTAGGGCACCCATTTTATTCCACAGTACTGGGAGGGATGCCATTGTGTTAACGGTAATAGTGAAACAAGGAAGTGCAAAATCCGCAACAGTAAGAGAAAAGAAGATTCCGAGAAATAAGGCAGCAGCACTTTGGGCTCTCACAGGTGGCCCTCAGGGGGAGTGCCCATTCTCTCTCCTGCAGAAGCAGAAGCACCCCCTGACGGGTTCCTACTGTCTGGGTCCCTTTTGGAACTAACGGTGCAGCCTCACGCAAGGCACTTAACCTTCTGGATCCCGACTGGAAAAGTGATCACATTTCCCTGATCCTGTAACCTCCGCACTTCGCCAAACCAGAATACGTGGGAAGAGGAATCCGGCCACGTTTTGTTGTGGTCCCCGCCCCCCTCCCCGTTTTGAACGTGTGAAAAGGAATCTTATTTTAATCACGGTATTAAGTCGGTTTGGACGGCTGTCACAAAGTAGCACAGTCCAGGTTGCTTAAACCATGGCAGCTCATCCCACAGCTCTGTCGTCTAGAAGTCCCAAGATGAAGGTGTCCACAGGGCTAGTTCTTTGAGAGCTACGGGAAGATTGTTCCTGTCCTCTCTCTTTGGCCTGTGGATGGCTGTTTTCCTGTGTCCTCCCCTGGCCCTCTGTATGTGTCTGTGTCTGAATTTCCTCCTCTTAAAGGGACCCACCCCCGTGGTACTGGATGAGTGCCCACCCTAATGACCTCATCTTAATTTACCTCTTTACGGACCCCTTCATTGAGTCACAGTCACATTCTGAGGCACTAGGGGTTAGGACTCAAATGATAGGGGGTTAAGGGAGGGGATAGAGTTCAACCTGTAACACGTCTCTAGGTTTTTGTTTTTGTTTTCTGTTGTTGTTTAATTTGTGTTGTAGGTCACTTGCTTTGGGAGGGTGCAATATTGGGGGTAAGTTGCAGGGACAGTCATTAGGACCCACCTTGGAGAACAGAATAATGGTGCTCAAGGTTGAAAGTAACTGTCAGCTTGGGGAGGTGTTACTGAGCAAACAGAGAGAAGCTTGGGCTGTGAAACCCAGACGTGGAGGAGCTGCTGGGCCTAGGCCTGTGGCAGGCTCACCACCTCGGCCATCAGATTTGAAATGAGGTGATGTTGCTCCCCACTCACATTCATCAGCTGGCAGCTCCAGTACGAGATTCTGGGGCTTTAGAGAAGAGGGGAGATTTCGAGAGCAAGCTCACACCTGTAGTTCAGTCGATGTCATTGACTCATCAGGAAATAACCACGACCCAGCCATAGGCCCCAACATGTTTGGGGCTCATGAACCCTAGCTTGCCTTTATCGTAATGTCTTCCTCTGCTGAATACAGATCATTCCTTTGGGCTTCCTGCAAAAGTGAGTCATAATCCAGTGGTTGAAGTCCACCCTGATGGCTCTGGGAGCTGTGTTGTCATGAATGTAGGATCAGAGACACAGGACAGATAAGGATGCAGCAATGACCAGCTTATGCTGCCATCCTGCGCGGAACTAGGTTGGCTTGCCCTGGAGGTGGCTGACACCCGCCGACGTCGGTTTCCTTTGATGCAAACATCAGCTTTTACATCTAACGTAACTTTAGTAAGGCTGAGTGCACAGTAGAAGCTTGGGAGTTTCTGTGCTTTTAGTGGAATTAGATCAACTGAATTTGGTAACCTGGGGGAATTGCTCAGATGAGCAGTTACATCACTTTGATACATAAATAAAAATGAAGGCATGAACTTCAAATGTATAAATGCATTTGGTTTTGAAATATTGTATCCCTGGATAGGGATGAAGACCAATTAAAAGATCTTTAGTGGTCAGGAGCCAATGTAATATATATTGCATGTTATCTTTCCAGATCTGTGGTGTTTTGTTGTAAATCTCAGTATCTCTGAGACCTAGCCCAGTGCCTGCCACTGAGACCTTGACCTGTCCCCTTATCCTGAGAAAGGTTTAGAAAGCAGAATTCTCTTTCTGATTTGCCTATTTCACCATCTGATTTTAATTCCTTGGTCTTTTTTCATTTGGACCTGAAACAAATTCCGGTCCCTATTTTATTTATTTATTTTTAAAAGATTTTATTTATTTGTCAGAGAGGGAACACCAGCAGGGGGGAGCTGCATTCAGAGGGAGACGCAGGCTCCCCGCTGAGCAGGGAGCCGGATGTGGACTCGATCCCAGGACGCCTGAGCTGAAGGCAGGCGCTTAACCAACTGAGCCACCCAGGTGCCCCTCAAATAAATAATCTTTAAAAAACAAAATTCACATGCTTTTTTTTTTTTTTTTAAAGAAAGCTAGTAAGAACCCTTTATCTTTTGTGTATCCTGAGTTTCATAAATCGGGATTTTCAAAAAACAGGAGCAACTTGTAAACCATCTAGATCTTTCTCATCACTGGACTCAAGGCCATCCTATGGCTTCAGTGAAGGGCTTCCTAGAGCACTTGATATGTGGAACTCATTAAACACCTGCCATTCAGTCACATATAAAAGAGACTCAAGGATAGAAGCAAAGTCTAACACCAACTAGTAATAATTATTGACTGTCTCACTTCCTGTGGGTCAGGCACTGTGCCAAGCACTTTGCCTACATAACTCATTGGAATCCTGATGGTGCCATGAGTCAGTTGTTAGTAACACTTACAGATGAGGCACTCAGGATCAAAGTGATTAAGGTGTTTGCCCAAAGGTCCCACATCTAGTAAGACAACATGCCCAAATTTGGGACCAAGCCTCTCTAACCATTACACCCCAGTGTTGCCTCCGGAAGGGCATGCAGATGCTCTGGGAGTCACAGGTGTGGCTCAAACCAGCCTCCTCCTGGAACTCACCTGAGGCCCTCAGCCCCAGACCTTGTTTCTCTGCCTTGTCCACCTCTATCAGCGTGCCCCCCCTCTCCACTGGACCTGAGCCCCCATGTCTTTTTCTCTGGAGTGGTGCGTGCGCAGTTTCTGGTGTTTCCTCTCTGCGCAACTCACGCTTCCCCATACATACCAAAGGCTGAGCTGAATCCGGTTTGCAATGTATTTTTTGGCACCTACAAGGTGCCTGGCCTGATGGGAACAAAAATGCTTTCCACACAGCTGTAGCTGACACTCAGGCTGGATCTGCACACCAGTTTTCCCCTATCTAAGTGGATTTCCCTGTAAACCCGAAGGATAGGGTCACGGCCCCTGTGAAGGGACCAACGTTCACGCCGAGCTGGGCAGACTCGGATCCTCCTAGGAAACCGGCCCGGAGGGAAGAGGTTGAGGAAGAGGATGGGCGACCCCCACCACCATCCGAGGCTGCGGGAAGGAAAGGTGAGACTGGTCCGGTTGCCCTGCAGGCCGGGTCCTGAGCGCATTCACTCACTCGTCGAGACGACAATCAGTAAACGAAGTAGGCTCAGTCCTGCGCACTGGGGATGGAGGCCCCTCCTGATCAGTGCCGCTCGCACTCTAGTAAGAGGAGTGGGGTGACCGGCGAGAGTCGCGAGGGCTCTGCAGGGGGTGGAGTCACTGGTGGTCTAGGAAGGCTTCCCGGAGGAGGAGGTGCTGGAGCTGTCGATTGGAGGAGGAGGAGCTAACTAGGGGGCAGGAGGGGAAGGTCTCCTCAAAGAGGGAACCGTCAGCAAGGCCCTGGGCACTGAGCCCGAGAAGAGAGGCCCGCGGTGGGCAGGAACGACCCTTCAGACCCTTTAAGGCGGAGCGCCGCGGCGCGAGCAGGCGGGGGCGGTGCCAGGGCCCCTCGCGGCCGCTGATTGGGCGGTGCACCCGATCGGAGCGGCTCCGCGGGCGCCGATTGGCGGGCAAGGGCCGGGCGCTGCCGCCAGGTGATACAGGGTGCTGGTTCCCGCTGCCACGTGGGGGGCGCCGGGGGGCGGGCGGTGGAGACGCGCAGGGCGCGCCGGGGGTGCAGCGCGGAGCTGCGGCGACGGGACTCGAGAAGCGGCGGCCAAGGTGAGTGCGCGCGGGGGAGCCGGGCAGGGGCAGGGGCCGGGGCCGGCGGATCGCCGGGAGCGGGGCTCGGTCCCCGGGCGCGGAGGTGGGAGGAGGTCTCGCTTGGGGAGGAGCATCTCGGCCGCTTCCCTCCATCTAAGTGGATTTCCCTGCAAACCCGAAGGATAGGGTCACGGCCCCTGTGCAGGGACCAACGTTCACGCCGAACTGGGCCACCGCCACCGTGGCCGTCCATCACCTCCGCCGTCACCTCCACCGTCCCTCCGCCAGCGTCCTGCCTCGCTCATCCCCTCGATCGGTCCGGGGAGTTTCTCTGCCCCGGACCGGGGACCGTCAGCCCAAAGCCCTGGCCGCGCTCCACAGGAGTGACAATAATAGCAGGACTAGTGACCCACGCGGGGGAGCGCTCCGTGCCGCCCGGGCGCTGGCCCTGGCCGTGCCTTCTGAAAACAGCACTTTCCGCTCCCTGTCGTCTGCTCGGAGAGGCCATCCTCGACCAGCCTGTATTAAATAGCACCCCCCACACACACACACACATCACGGATCCTCCTCATTCTACTATATCTTTCTCCAAATCACTTAAGCCCCCCTGAAATGTCGATTTCCAGTACCGTTCCCCCAGCCCTGCTTGGGAGCTCCCCGAGGGCTGGGACTTGGTTTTGTTCACCGCGCACATGGTTGGCGCGTGGAATATTGTCAGAGGAGCGGATAAATGAGCAGCCCCAGGAGGCAGCTGCTATTACTATCCCCATTTTACAGGTGAGGAAATGGAGGCTGACAGGTTTTGTGGACCTCACAATCCATGATGTTGATCTTGACCTCTGGCTGCTTGGTCCAGTCCCCTCCCACCTGGTGGCCTAGGGCAGAAGGAGTGTGTCCGGACAGGGGAGCAGGCTCTTCTGTGTGGCTGAGCCGAAGGTAGTGGAGGTGGGGCAGGTAACCAGAGCGGCTCTGGCAGCCCCAGACAATCTGGGCAGGGAGGCCATCAGACTGAGAAAGCAGCTGTTTCGCTGATAAGATCAGCCCCCAGCACCTGAGGTGTTCCCGGCAGCTGGATAGACTGGGATTCGCCAGGCTCCCATGGTGGACACCCTGCTTCCTTGGGAGAGGAGTCTGGGCAGGAGGACACTGCCATGGCCTAGGGGAAGAGCCCCCAGAGACCCAGGTTTGCTTCCCAACTCTCCCTTATGCTGTGTGACTTTGGGCAAGTGGCTTCACCCCTCTGAGCTACACTTTGCTAAGCCCAGAGTCCAGGCTGAGGGGTCTCCCAGGATGCTATAAAGGTGCCCCCCCCGCCATGATTCAATTCAGCTATGGTGCAGGGCAGTAGAGGGCTTTTACCCTTGACCCTGAAGGCAAGTCAACCCATCCAATACCCTGTCTCTAAGCAGGACTACCTGGAAATTCTCAGAGGAGCAAAAGAAGAGCCCCAGCCTCATTCCAAAGGTGTCCCCCTAGAAAGGTGCTGGCCCAGCCAGGTTCCCGTGTAAAACCTTGGAAAAACAAGTGTGCTCTAAAGAGATAAGTGGGTGTTTGTGTCCAGAACGAGTTCCCAGGTCTGTTTCTGGGGTTAGGGTGAGCCTGGTACCATCACTCGTCCCTTGGGCAGCCCTCAGATCCCGGCCTGGGGCTGACATGCACTGGGAGGGAGGGAGAGGAAGAGAGAAACTTCCAGCTTCTTGGGGGATGGGGGAAGGATCAGGTGATGGTGGGGGGGTGCTCCCCACCCCCACTCTCTGGATAGTGGAGTGTCCCCAAGAAAGCTGCCACTCTGGATCTGGAGGGAGGAGGCGGTTCGCAGCGCGAGACACAGCTGTCTCGGCATGTGTGAGAGAGAACGTGAGTGTGCCTGAGGTCCCGCGCGGCTCTTTGCTGTCTTATACGTGAGGTGTCTGAGGGGCTGTGGCAGCACAGGCAGGATGGGAAATGTGCTCCTCATCTCTCCCTCCTCCCACCCCTCCTTTATCTATTATTTTATCTTCGCTTCTCTGTTCCCACGTCTGCTGGCTGCTTTTCAGCCTCTCCTCTTTCCCTCGCTCCCTTTTGCCCCGTTTGTGGTTTGGTCTTTTTTCCTCCGCCGTCCAGGGCATCCCAGCCCATAATGTGATAACGAAGTCAAAAGGTGAGTTCCCTGGAAGCCCCATCTCCATGCCTGGAACAGCGACCACATAGCTTTTGTGCCAGTTACATGTCTAACCTTGTTGTATTTAAACATAAAATGGACCCCAAAAAACTATGGTTTTTAATAGGCAATGGACATGATGTGAGAAATGATCAGGATCAAAAAGTGGAGGGTGCGAGGCCAGAAAAGCAGGAGGGAAGAGGGTACAGGAGGGGGGAGCCAGGAGGGCATCCAGGGGACCATGCAGCCCTTATTTCTGGCTCTTCTGGCTCTGGCCACTCACTGAACATAGGGGGTTGCTCCCAGAATGTAGTGGGTGTCTGTCGCCCCCACCCTGGCCGAACCTGGGGCTGAAGTTCTGGGCGGGCAGAGGTAGGGGCCGTTCCTGGGCTCTTGGGGCCGTTCCTGGACTCTTGGGGCTGGGAGTGTCAGGTCCTGAGCACCTGCAGGAAGGTGGGGCGAGCACCCCCAGGACACACCCATTTCCTACCCAGCGCCCTGATAACTATTTTCTCCTGGAGGAATCCTGGCTCCCAGGCAGGCCTCTCCTTCTGCCTCGCTCTCCTTGACTGGGAGGTCTTCCTGTCTTTCTGTGTAAGGAGGGCCCTGAAAGTCGTCTGACCGCGCTGTCCTCCCAAGCTCCCTCCTGAACAGCAGGCTTTGGGGTCCCCCCATCCTCCGTGTGTGCCTGTGAAGCGTCCCTCCTGCTCTTCCATTCTATTCTAGAGCCCTCACATGATCCCAGGTTTGGGGATGAGGACATGGAGGCTCAGAGAGGTGGGGCTGTTTGCCCAAAGTCACACAGCATTTGGACCCAGATCTCTCTGATCCAAAGTGCAGTGATTGTCAGTAGTCTGGTGAGTAGCCAGGCAGGATGGGGGATGGAGGTGGGGTCTAAGTTGGCCCCAGGAGGGACTGAGGGAGCTGAGTCATGGGGGACCCAGGCAGAGGCAATCAGCCATTCTTTCTCAAGATGCCTTGCTTCCACGTTCGCTGTGCACCAGCTGTGGTCATGAGCTCTAATGGGGAGTGAGCACTGTCCCTGTCCTTGAGGACAGTCTAGTAAGAGAGGTTTCCTTCTCTCCTCCCCTAGTGGATCTGGGAAAGGGGCCCCACAAAAGACCAAAACCTGGGCTGGGTTGGGGGGCAGGGCTCCTCAGCCCCCCTGGGGGCTTCAGTCAGGCTGGCCGAATGGGCCAGGGCCTGTGAAGCATGTCCCTAGCCTCAGCAGCTCAGGGCATCCAGCTCATGGGCCACTCCCATAGAGCACAGAGCTCCTGCCCTGGAACCTGCTATGGCTCCCCACTGCCCACAGGGCACAGCCTAAATTCCCTTGGTGTGACATTTAAGGCTGGTCCCAACCTGGCTCTGGCCCGCTCTTCTGGTAAGGTCTACCCAGGAGCTCCGCTGCTTTCCTCCCTGTGCCTCTGCAGACTGTTCTGGCAGTGTCATACCCCTCCTCTCAGGTGGTACCTTCCCAGCTGCCTGCTTCCCCTGGCACTTTGTGCAGGCTGGTTACATGGCTCTCGCCCCTACTTCCACCCCAGGGCAGGCCCAGGCCAGAGCACGGAGGTGGCCTGCCACACCCCTCCCTTCAGCTCTTTCCCCAAAGCTCACTCCTCAGTGAGGCCTTCCTCGCTGTAGCAACCCCTAGCCTGCATCTCCCCGCCTCCTCTCTCCTTTGTCACCATCTAGCATATGCCCTGTCTTACTGACTGATTCGTTCAGTGTCCTTCCACACAAGCCTGTTGGCTTCCCGAGGGCGAGAGGGAGTCTGTCGTTTTGTTCTGGGCTGCGTATTCCCTGTGTCCGCAGTGCCCTGGACATTGCCTGGCACACAGCAAGGGCTCAGGAAGGATTTGCGGGATGAAGGAGCTCACTGGCCTCTGAGGGGGAGCAGTGCGGCTCGAGCGCCCGGGAGCCATCCTTTCTCCCCTGCCCTTTGCAGCCTCCTCTCCCGCGGAGCTCGAAGCCGGGCACCCTGGGGGCCATGCAGAGGGCTGGGGCAGGGGGCCGGAGGGCCTCGGACTGCGGCCCTGCCCCTCACCGGCCCAGGTGCATCACCAAGTTCACCCAGGTGGGTGGGGCCGCCCCCGTGGGGGGTGCTCTGGTGGGCCGGGACTGAGTGCAGGTCCTGGGGGGTGGAGAGGAGCTCTTCCTGTCTTCCCTCCCGGCCCCAGACTCGAGAATGTGTGTGTGTGCACAGATGAGGAGATGGGGCTTCGGAGGGGCAAAGAGGCTTGACCAAGGCCACCTGCTGGGAAGGCAGCAGAGCCTGCTATACCCCAAGTCCAGTGCTCTGTCACTGTCCACAGCTTACCCAACAGAGCAGAGTGTGTCAGGGGGGCGGGGGCGGAATCTGGAGGACTGGATCAGGAGCCATGGTCCTGACTGCCCTGCCTCCCTCCCACCCTCACCACACCCCCAAGCAGTATGTGGGCTCCTTCCCGGTGGACGACCTGGACACCCAGGAGAGTGTGTGGCTCGTGCAACAACAGCTGTGGGCACTGAAGGTAGGGAGCTGGGGGAGCGGGGTGGCACGTGCCTGTCCCTGGCAGGGATCACAGCCTGGGAAGGTCAGGCCATCATAGAGATGGAGCGGGTGAGGCCCAGGGAGGGGCGGAACCAAAGCCATTCTGAGAAGTGGGCCCAGCGAGGGCCACACCCAGGCACCTGAAGCCATGTCCCTTATGCCCTGGGACCCCTTCCCTTGGGCAGTCATGACCTGCCCCATGGGTGGAAGCCACAGATGGGAGATGTGGGGGATGGTCATAATATGGCCAGCTAAGGCCCTGGCTGAGGGGTGGTCTGCCAGGCCCCATCCACACCTCCCCAGCTCCTGGGGAGTCCACTCTGCAGGGCCCAGTCCCTTGGCAGCCAGGGTGGAGTTCGCTGACCAGCCTGTGGTGACCGGTCCTATGGCAGGGCAGGGCAGGGCCTGGAAGGTAATGCCTGCCCCCAACCAACTCTCTCCCACCTAGGATTGTCCCCGACGCCGGGCCGTCATCCTGAAATTCAGCCTTCAGGGCCTCAAGATCTACAGCGGGGAAGGCGAGGTAGGAGCCTGTGTGGGTGCAGGTGAGGACTGGAGAGGACCGGTGTCCTCCTCCCTCAGAATGCACCCGACCCTGCGCTACCCCTCGAGAGTCCCTGCCTCCCCAGCCTGCTCTGGGCCTTTGGATGTCCTCTCTCCAAGGGCCCGACCCTCAGCTTGGCAACGGTTTCTCACCCCCAGCCCCGGCCCTCCAAAATCTCCAGGCGCTACCTCCTGGCCTGAGTGTCAGGACCATCAGCCCCAGGTTTCTGCAGGCCCCGGGCCTCTGGGTAGGCCTGCCCAGGGTTGGCCGGGGGGCTGTGTGCTGAACACTAACCTTGTGCCAGACTGTGTACCCCACAACCCTGGGGCCAGTCTCCTAAGACTGGTGCGAATTGTGTCCCAGAGGTATGCATTGCGGGGGCCCCGGGGTCCGGTCCTGGGCCATTTGCACAAGGTCTCACTGACCCCCACCCACAACCCCATCAGACGGGGCACCATCCCCACTCAGTAAGTGTCACAAGGGCTCTGAGGACTGTGCTTATCTGCCCAAGTCACCCAGAGAGCCAGATTCAAACCCTGGTCATCTGCCTCCAGAGACCAGGCATGCACCCCAGGGCCCGCTGCCACTGCCTTTCCCTGTGACCCTGCAGGCCGTGAGCACTTTGCTGCTCAGTTCCATAGCATGGGGGGAGGGGGGTGGCAATCCCAGCCAGCAGGTTAGCAGTGGGGAGCAAGAGACCGAGCTGGGAGGCCATGTGAAGGATGAGGGTTCCCATTTGAAGTAGGGCTTAGGCAGGCATGGAAGGAGGGAAGAGTCCTTCCCCCAGAAGCCATGGGGCGAGGGGGGGCCCTAAGCTGGGCACCCAGGCTGGAGAGCAGGCCCCGGAGGCCAGCCAGCAGGTGTGTGGGGCCCACAGGGCTAGCACCCACTGGGCCAGCAGCTGCAGGCCACGCGGCGGGTCTGATGGAGGCCGTCCTGCCCACTCCGCCCCAGGTGCTCCTGATGGCTCATGCTCTGAGGCGCATCCTCTACTCTACCTGGTGCCCAGCTGACTGCCAGTTTGCCTTCATGGCCCGAAACCCCCAGAGCCCGGCCAGCAAGCTCTTCTGCCACCTCTTTGTGGGCAGCCAGCCTGGAGAGGTATCTGGGGCACAGGGCTGGGGTTGGGGGTGTGCCGTGTGTCAGCATGGGCTCCGGGGACCAAGACCTTGGAGGGCTCAGCTAAGCTGGCCGGAGTCCCCTCCAGACAGGCACTCCTTGCCCCACCGGCTCCTTCTGTGGCTCTGCCCACTGAGGACTCCACAAAAGCAGGTTAGTGGCCTCAGCATTCTCCGGGGCCTGGAAATGGGGATCAGGCCATGTGCTTAGAAATTGGGTGGTCACACTGCCAGGCCTTTGCTCATGCTGTCTCTTAGCCTGGAATTCCCTTCCGCTTCTGGCAAGTTCCAGCTTGCCCTTCAAGGCCAGCGCATGTGTCTCTGAAACGTACCTGGAGTCCTCTGGACCACTCTTCCTTCTGAGGTCCCGGGACATGAAACACACTCTATCATTGGTCTGTCCCTAATCACAGACAGTGGAATTCTTTGACAGCAGAAACTGGGGCCAGGTCTTGAACTGCTCTGGTGTGTGGCCCCATGGGGCTAGTGGGTGAGTGGGTAGATCCCAGAAGTCAAAGCCAATACGACCACCATGAACAGCAGAGCCTTGGCAGCCAACTGTGTGGCCGGCAGAGGCTGGGCTCGGTGCCATCTAGCAACATTTGCCGTTACCCTGTATCTCAAGCTCTGTGCGGGCTCGTGGAAGGACAGGTGGCTGAGACATTGCCCTTGATCTTCCAAAGCTCACGGTTCCAACATGTTGGGGCTGGATAATGTGTGTTTGGGGTAGAACATACTGGCCCCGGAGCAGTGGGCTTTTGCTGGGGGCTCTCTGTGCTCCACTTCGCTAAAGAGCACAGGGAAGTGGGGATGGGGAAACTGAGGCCCGGAGGTGCCGTGCTCTGCCCAGAGTCACACAGCAGCCCCTAAATGACAGAGCTGGGACTGGATCCCAGGTTGCGGGACTGGAGGGTCTGGGCTCATAGCCACTGCTCTAAAAGGGCGTGGACATAGGGTTGGGTAGTCAACCCAGGGGCAGGAGTGCATGTAGCCTATGTATTCCCAGCTCTAAGCATGCTGTCTGGAACAAAGCAGATGCTCAGGATTTGTTAAATGAACAAAGGAAGCTGGTAGGGAGGACTGCGTGGTGGTGTTCTGAGGGATGAGTGGGAGTTTTCCCAGGAAGAATGGGGAAGAGGATCCCAAGCCAAGGGGTGCGTGCCCTAATGGTGAGTGGGTTGATGTCTACAGAGTCCCCCAGGAAACCTGTCCTACCTGAGCCAGCCCCTTCCTCCCCGCTAGGTCCAGACCCTGCACCTGCTGCTCTGCCGATCCTTCCAGCTCGCTTACCTCTTGCAGCACCCTGAGCAGCGGGCACAGCCTGAGCCCTGCCTGGGGTCTGCAGGGGACATGCCCGTGAAGCCACTGTCCAGCCCTGGGGGCCCCCCTGGCCTAGTACGAGAACCCTTCAGCCGTGATCAGCTCTCACAGAATGTGCACGCACTGGTCTCCTTCCGGCGGCTGCCAGCAGAGGGGCCTGCGGGCGGTGGGGTACGCTGCACCCCAGCCAGGGAGTGGGCAGTGGACAAGGGAACTGGGCGAGGGTTTGGGGGTCGTGGGAGGGGAAGGCGGCACATCAGCGGGAAGGGGCTTTGCCTGACCTGACATGGGCCTGAGTCTGCCTGCCCCTGGGGGCCCCTTTTGGTGCCTTAGAAGGAGCTGCCAGAGTCAGAAGGCCGACGGGGCACCCGCCATGCCTGCCTGGGGAATCCTTACTGCTCGCCCACGCTGGTGCGCAAGAAGGCCATTCGCAGCAAGGTGATCCGCTCTGGGGCTTACCGAGGCTGCACCTACGAGACTCAGCTGCAGCTGTCCGCTCGGGAGGCCTGTGAGTCGCAGGGGCTCGCCCGCCGCGTGGTTGCAGGGGTGCAGGCCTGGGTGCGCCCTTGTGAGTCAGAGGGCTGGGCCTGTGTGTGGATATGCCCGTGTCCACATGAGTGTGCATCCAAGGTCTGCACGCCCGGGGGCTTGCCTAGGTGATTGGAGAGCTGGGGATGAGCTCCAGCTGGTGAGCAGGTGTGAGTGGGCTGTGCCGTGCGCGGACTTATCTGTGCGGCGGGGAGACTTGGTGAGGAGACAAGCGTGGCCGGGATGGGGTCTGGAGCGGTGGGGCGGCCTGGGCTCCGGAGGGGACGGCCTCTCTCCCTCTGACCCCTGGGTGGTCTGCACAGTTCCTGCCGCGTGGGAGGCGTGGCCCCGGGGGCCTGGTGGCCCCTCGTGCCTGGTGGAGAGCGAGGGCAGCCTGACGGAGAACATCTGGGCCTTTGCTGGCATCTCCAGGTAGGAGGGGCCTGGCCTGGCTGGTGCGCAGCCCCTCGGGTGGGCAGAGGAATGGACTCTGGGCTCCCCCAGGGTCCTGACGTGTGTACCTTCCTGTGCAAGGGCAGAGCCATCCGGACCTTGGTGGCCCCGGGCCAGGGGCTTCCCCCACTGGGCCTGTTTTCTCAAATGTGAAATGGGGATAATCACAGGCCTGTGGAGAGGATCAGATGGGGTCATTCAGGCAAAGCTCTCAGCACCTCGCCTGTCACAGGGCAGCCGCTTCCTGACCGCCAGCTCTTCAAAACTCTCCGGGGTGGGTCTTGAAGCAGCTGCCAAGGACCCCTCAGACGCGCCTTAGGAAGGAAGTCTCAAAGCTTCCCTTGGCGGACGGCCTACTCTGGGTCAGGCACCGTTTCTGGTTATGCCATCGCCCAGGGGAGCGACGTGAGGCCGGGGTCCCGCCCTCAGCCTCTCCCCGCTGCCCTCCCAGGCCCAGCGCCCTCGCCCTGCTGCGGAGAGACGTGCTTGGGGCCTTCCTGCTGTGGCCCGAGCCCGGCGCCAGTGGCCAGTGGTGCCTGTCGGTGCGGACACAGTGCGGTGTGGTACCCCACCAGGTCTTCCGGAACCACCTGGGCCGCTACTGCGTGGAGGTGAGCCAGCGGGCAGCCGGCCCCGCCCCGGCCCCGCCCCGGCCCCGCCCCTGGCCCGCAAGCCCCGCCCTTTCTGGCCGGCGGTCCGGAGCCCCCTCGCCTCATCACGGAACCCCACTGGCTCTCTCTGGCCACACCCCTTATTTAACTAACTCTTCATCTAGTTTGTCACTGGCCCTGCTGGCCCCGCCCTCAGGCCTCCAGAGGGGGCTTTTTTTTTTAAAGATTTTATTTAATTATTTGATAGAGAGTGAGCGAGCACAAGTGGGGGGGGCGGTAGCAGCAGAGGGAGAGGGAGAAGCAGACTCCCCACTGAGCAGGGAGTCGGGCGGGGACTCGATCCCAGGACCCTGAGATTATGACCCGAGCCGAAGGCAGCCACTTAGCCATGGGAGCCACCCAGACACCCCGAGAGTCTTGGGCCCGGGTCATGCCTCCCATTTCTATAGGAATCCCAGCTTTTAAAAGTGGCTTTCCCACACCCTAGCCCATCTTCTAGCAGAGCTGGAAACTGAGAGAGGGCAGGCGCGGGCCTAAGCTCACCCAGCCTCCCGGCTTCCAGGTCTGGAGTCTTGGCCTGACCACAGGTTTCCAGGGACTGGATGTGCGCCCTTATTACAGGCTGAATGGCTCAGTCCTGTCCAGGCTGGCAAGAGAGAAAGAGAGGAGACAGTGTCTGGCTCTGCCGTGAGCAGGACGGTGACCTCTCTGAGCTCGAATTTTCTCCCTTCTGAAGTGGGGCAAGATCCCTTGTGAGGGGGTGGCGGGTGCCCAGAGTGGAGCCATGGGGGAGGGGAAGCTGGAGCTTCAGCTCTTTCCGCCCTAGCACCTGCCTGCCGAGTTTGCCAGCCTGGAGGCCCTGGTGGAGCATCACGCTGGGACCGAGCGCAGCCTCTTCTGCTCCCTGGACATGGGCCATCTGAACCCCAGCTACGAAGATCAGGACTGCGGGTCCGAGGGCAGACCCCCCCGGACACTGCGGCCTCTTGGCCATGCCAAGTCAGAGGCAGAGCTGCAGGGCCTGGGCTAGGAGGCTCACCCCCTGGACCTACCTCACCCTGGGTCCTGGGCCTCAACAGGCCGCCCTGCCCTTCTGCCACCCTGCTGGTCACCAGTTCCATCCAGTCACTCTGACCCTTGGACCAGTCTTCCATCACTTCACTGACTGTGGTAGGGGGGAGCCCTGACATTGGGGATCACTGGGGGCTTCTCACGAGACATGGGGCCTGCCAAGATTGGAGGAGGGGCAGGCGGAGCTCCAGGCTTCCATTCACTTGCTGGGTGACTTTGGAAGCTTGTCTCTGGGCTTCACTTTACTCCTAGGCAGGGAGCTTTCTGAGGGGGGCAGGAAGGTTTGTTCATGAGGGATGTGGCCCTCTCCTAAGGAGGCCAGGCCTTGGGGTCCTGACCAGGAGTCTCCCAAGAGTACCCAGAGGTAGCCAGGCACATGAGGGGGAGGTGTCTGGAAAGGCAGGAGTGAGTTCTCACCGTGGGCGAGGACCTGGGGGCGAGCCACTCTGTCCAGGAGAGAAACAGAGAGAACTTGGAGGAGCTGACGGGCACAATGGCTGGGCTGAGCTGCACCCAGGCTGACAGAGCACAGCCTGTGTCTCAAAGCATCGGACGTTAAGGGAGTCTTCCATTGAATTCTATGAATTCTGTTCATAGGAATGAGGCTTAGGAGGGCACAGAAGGGCAGGATGGACAAAGAGCCATGCCCCCCACCAAGCCCGCACCCAGGTGGACATCTGTGAATAGAAAGGACGTGAGCCCACGGGGCAAAGAATCTCTGTGCTGCTTAGAAAGGCTGGTTTGTCTGCAGTCAAATCCACAGGGTTGTGATTCCTGCCCCCACGCCCCCAAGGACCACCAAGGCGCGCGCACACACACACACATACACACACAACGCAGGTTCATTTCCTTTGTCCATTTGACTAGGAGGGGCCAGCAGTGAGCCACAGGTGAACAGGGGTGGCCAGGGTCCTATTCAATTCATCCTGCAGGCCCGTCTGGGTTTAGGGGCTGCCTGGGAAGCCACCTGATTCTGGTCCACTTCCCATAACGTGGCGCTGGCCATGGTTGTCAGGGGCTGCTTCACCAGGCCTGCCCCACTGGGGATGGGGTCAGAGCAGAACCATCCAAAGGTGGATCCGATGTGGGCCCTGCCAGAGGGGCCTTGGCCTCAGTGGGCAGGGGGGGTACAGGGAAATGACTCTGGCCTAAGGCACTGGCCCTGCAGGGTCTGACAGGTCCAGGTACCCCGCCCCTTTATAATAAGTAAGCTCAAAAGATGGACATGAATACCGAATTATTTAGGGCACAAGTTCACTTTGGAGGAACTTCTATTCCTGAGGCAGAGGCGAGTCACGAATGTGGGGGCTGCCCTCTCCCGCATCTGGGAGTGGGATGTGACTGTTCTGTGCCTTGAGCATGACGGATTTCTGACTCCTGGGAGGGAGAGGGCAGCCCTGATGGAAGAGAAAGAAGGGAGGCTCCTCAGGAGGTCAGGCCTGGGCTTCCCAGCTTACAACCGCCTGCCCAGGAAGTGGTCTGGGCTGGGGACCATGTCACTCTCATCACGGGATAGCAGGGGTGGGAGGCGGCTGTCCTTTGGGGGTTCTCACCAGAACCACAGTGCTGAGTTTACACTGAATTGGAGGGGGGACTGGGACTCAATTTACAGCCATTTCCACCAGGACGCATGGTCCCTCGTAGGAGGCCTGGTCTCGCATTTCCCTCGCAAGGAGAGGGGTTTGCCGATCCCGTGTCCAGAATTACATTCACTTGCTGGGTGACTTTGGAAGCTTTAAGACCTGGTGACTGGCCCCGGGCTGAGGCCAAAGCCTACCTCTGTGAGAGATGGGTTTTGTTGAGCACATCCTCCATGTGGACGAGGTATCAGGAATGTTCTCAAAGCACTTTAACATTCTGTCACACAGTATTCATCATGTGGTATGCATAGGGCAAGGTTTTTGACCCACGTGTGCAGATGCTTCAATGTCTTAATCATAGATCAGTTTTCTCTTTGTTCCACCTGGGTAACCAGCTCTCCTTACTGTGTGGACTTGAAACAAATAAAATGCATTTCTTCGGATTGTCTAGTACAGACTTTTCCTTTGAAAGGCAAGGTCTTTGTCCAGTTTGCCTATCTTGGTCTGCCAACCATAACTTCAGCGGGTGCTGAATGGTGAATCAGAGGGATCCTGTTCTCAGGGGCTCAGGATGACCTGAAGGAACAGGGAAGGTAGATTTATTCAAATCATATCTCTTCTGTTAAAACCTTCAGTGGGTATTTCCTGCAGGAAAATGACAGCCGCTATTCTGGCTGGACGGACTTGGGCTGCCCGGGGGGGATATTGGCCTGGCAACATCTCCGGCCAAAAGACTGGCTCTCACAAATAGTTTGGTTTTGTTTTTTAACCTGCGTCTTAGAAAAAAGGACGGCGGCATTAGAAGGACGCTGTGCTCTGTCGGAGGCAGCCCTCCCCTGAGTCAGTAGAGGGATGTGGATAAAAGGCAGCAACGTCCCTGTCGCCTCAGTAGGTCTCTAACTACCGGGTAAGGCCCTGACTTCTGTACCTCCCCCCGTCCTAGCTGGGCAACCTCGGGCAAATTGCTTAACCTCTCTGAACTGGGCAGTGGGGATTAGAGGAGAGAGCTGACGCGCCCGCGAAGCGGGCCGCCCCGGCCAGCCAACAGCTAGGGGACGCTCCTGCGCGACTCTCCCAGCCGCGGGGTGCAGAGAACGCGCCGACCCCCCTGCCCGCCCACCCCGGGAGCCGCCGGCTGTGACGCCACGGGCGTTGCCCGGCAACCGCGAACGTCGCGGCGGCGCGCGTGCCCGCGGGCGGCTGGGGAGGCTCCGGGGCTCGGGTCCTGCGGCGGCGCCTGCAGCGCGGATCCCCCCCACTGCCTCCTCCCCGGGCCGGGCCTCAGGGACGGGCAAGCCCGGGCGCGGGAGGAGGCGGCGGCCCCGGCTCCGGTCCTGCGGCCCCCCACCCCGCCGCGCCCCTCCTCCTCTCGGGGCGCCCCCCGTGGAGTCCCGGCCGCCCGCCGCGACCGCGGCCCCGCCCCCGCCGCGAGGCCCCGCCCCCCGCGCCCGGCGCTGGCCCCGCCCCCTAAGCCCGGCCGTCCCGTGTCCCGGCCGCGTCGCCCACGTCGGGCCGCGCCCTGGGGACCCCCGCCGCGGCGCCATGGCCTCGGAGTCGGTGAAGGTGGTGGTGCGCTGCCGCCCCATGAACCAGCGGGAGCGGGAGCTGAACTGCCAGCCTGTGGTGACGGTGGACTCCGCGCGCGGCCAGTGCTTCATCCAGAACCCGGGCGCCGCCAGCGAGCCGCCCAAGCAGTTCACCTTCGACGGCGCCTACTACATGGACCACTTCACCGAACAGATCTACAACGAGATCGCCTACCCGCTGGTGGAGGTGAGGGCGCCCGGGGGGCCTGAAGGGACAGCACTGTCCCCGAGCTGGGCGGGAACGGCCTTCTGGAGGAAGTAGGTGGACACCAACAGGTGGGCTGAAGTCTTTTGTCTAGGCAGGAGGCAGCTGGAACCCACCTACAACGTCCACGTTCCACTGTCCGCAAGGCCAAAGCTGGCCCTCGCCCCCACCCCTTCCAGCCCCCTGCCCACAAGGACTCCAGCCTCCAAGACTACTTGCCCTCCACCATCATCTGAGAACTTGAGGACTTCTCTAAACGCTCTAGCCACTTCCCCCAGCCGCCACTGCCTCCTCTTCCCAGGCTGTGGCCTCTGCTTTCTCCCCTCAGCATTCAGAATCCTCTCTCATCCTCCCTCATACGAAGATCTCTGCTTTCCTCCTTCTGCCTTTGTCTGGGAGGAATGGAAACCGTTTAGCTTTGGTCTAGCCCATCATCATCTTCTCAGCGGTTTAGGAACAAAGAAGCAACACCAGTTTGTCACCCTTTATAGGGCTTTTGCTTTCGGGAGCGCTCACACTAGGTTGCTTGTACATTTCACAGATGGGGAGACTGAGGCCCAGAAGAGGGAAACTTGCCCAAACTCCCATGGTAGGTTTCTAGCAGAGGAGTGGCGGGAGCTACGCCTCATGTCTTCTGGCCAAGGGCTCTTCCTTTCTACCAGCATCTCCCCAACTGTTCAACGAGTCACTAGTTAAGTGAGATGTCACAGGTTGTCCCAAGAAAAAAGGAAAAGCTTGGGAAATGCTGCATACACCCTCCCTCACATGAAGCTTCACAGGGCACATTAAGATACCCGAGGCTCTGGGGAGTCCTGCAGCAAAGGAACGGATTTGACTTCCTGAACCCAGTGTTTCCAAAATGCACTTTAGAACCTTTGTTGTTTTCGCTGGCAGGCCAATTGACATCCTTCAGAGCACCTCCTTTGGCTGCCCCATCTCTTCTACCAAGGCTCAGTCAAAGCCCTTGAGAGCGTTGAAGTGTTTGTTCTGAAGCCCAGAACTCCCCAGTAGTCAGGGCCCGATGGAAATGATGCCCGGGGGACGAGGGCAGCTCTCCCCTAGGTTGTGGTCCCGGATGCTGGGGATGGCCAGGCCGTCCTTCTGTTGTCCGGCACTCCCAGGCTGGAAGGGACCTGAAGGGTTGTGTCTGGTCACCCCCCCCCATTGGGTCCTCGAATGTCCACCCAGTGGCAGGAGTTCACTCTTCCCAAAGCAGCCCCTTTCCCCTTTGCTTCTTGGCTCCTAGAAGACCGTTCTGCATGGTGAGCCAGAGTCAGCGTCTCTTTCAGCCACCTGCCGTGGCTCTGTCCCTGAGGCCGTACAGACCTCCTCTGCTCCCTTGTCCCGGATTGGCCCCTTAGAGATTTAAAGATTCCAAGATTGAGTCCTCCTTGGCCTTGCTCATGGGTCCCTGCCTCATCCTGGAAGCAATCCCCTGAGCACGCTTCCCTCATCAGGGTCCTCAGGAAACCCCAGCCCAGGGTGGGAGACACTAAGGACACAGTGGCTCTATCACATCTCCCCTCTGGTTCTCCCTCCTGTCCTGAGTTCCCCCACTACTTGGGATTCTCTGCCAGACACCTGCCTCCCTCTGGACATCCCCCAGAGCCTCGCACTCAACACGACAGCAGCTCGTTTTCATTCATTCATCTACTCGGGTAGCAAGTAGCAGCTCCGCACCAGGCCCGTCCTCAGCTTGGGGAGCACAGCCCTGAAGGAGTCATAGGCTCTGCCCTCCGTGAGCTCATGGTCAGGGGGAGGAGCAGCTAAGCTAATAGCTACAATCTAAGGTGATGAAGAGGAGGAAAAGCCTGGGGCACGTTGGCAGCTAGAGAACCTGAGCTTGGGGGGCATGGAAAGGGAGGGGAAGGCTGGGAGGGCTTCCTGAAAGTGGTGAGGTTTAAGTTGAGACCTCAAGAATGAGAGGAGTAGGTAAGAAGGTGGAGGAAAGGGCCTTCCAGGTGGAGGCCTGCATTTGACTCTGTGGACATGTATAGAGCTGCAGTCCTCATCCCTGGTGGGGAAACTGAGGTCAGTAGTATCACAGAACGAATTGGGGTGGTTTTGATACCCAGCACAGTGCCTGGTCCCCTGCTCCATCCTGCTGCCTCCCATTAAATGAGCAGCACGCAAAGCACAGCTCAGGTGGCTCTGAGCCAGGAGCAGCTGCACCGTTAGGGCCAGGGGGCCGTGTGTCTGCCCTTCGGGGCTCTGAGCCCGCTTCCAGGCTCTCCCAGGGCTTCTGCCACCTCCACGGGGCCTCCTGTCCAGGCCCTTGCCTTTGGGTCCCTACTGCACAAAGCCCCCAGCACTTCTGACCGCCCCTTCTTGCCCTTTTCTTTCCTGCTTCTCCAGCCCTCAAATCCAGTCCCTATTCCTGATCTCCGACGCTGGCTGATCTCTTTGGCTTTCCTGAGTGCTGCCCACCCCAGGCCCACCCTTCTGCCCACTCAGCACATTCTCATGGGAGCTCCTCACCTCCGCACCTGGCCCGCCGCCTGGTCCACGGGCTCTTTCCCAGCCGGCGGCTTTGCCATCTGCCCCTTCTCCCGGCTTCACACCCATGGCCTTAGATTTGCCCCTGATGAGCTGCCCCCAGCCCACACACGGGCCAGGTACTGTGGCTTCTACGATGCCCAGACGTCAATGCAGTAGAAGCCATAGGATTCGGTCCCTGGATGGGACATTCAGCGGTTTGCTTGGGAAGGGCCAGAAGGGGGACATAAGGCAATATAAGACAGATGCTCTTAAAACATTTTTTTAAGGTTTACTGATTTCAGAGAGAGAGAGAGAAAAATGCAAGCAGGGGGTGGGGCAGAGGGAGAGAAGCAGACTCCCTGCGGAGCACAGAACCCGATGTGGGGCTCCATCCCAAGACCCGGAGATCAGGACCTGAGCTGAAATCAGGAGTTGGACGCTTGACCGACAGAGCCACCCAGGTGCCCCGGGACAGATGCTTTTTATTTCAGTTGCAATAGTTATGTGTTTAATGTAAAGTAGGAAAAATACTTAGCACATCCAACCTGTAATGCAGTTTCATGGGAATTACAGGTGAGGATGACAGCAAGTTAAAGAGTCTGTTAGCAGTTGATTTCCTGCAAGTCCACTGGTTAGTACTAGAGCGGGGAGACGTGCAGAACCTGGGGTGGAGGTACAGAGTAGCCCACATTTAGGACCCATTCCACGGGCAGGCTCGTCCCTTGAAGATCTGGAGGCATCACTTGATGGGTGAGACCTTTTTGAAATCTTATGTTTTGCCTTAAAAATGCACATAAAATTGTTTTCTGCTTCACTCCAGAACAATGCTGTTCTGTAGAACTTTCTGCAGTGGTGGAAATGTTCTGTATTGGGGCTACCCCTGGCCATCGGTGGCAGGTGAGCCCTTGAACTGAGGCTAGTGCTACTGAAGGACTGAATTTTAATTTTGTTTAAAATCAAGCTGAATTGGGACGCCTGGGTGGCTCAGTCGGTTGGGCGTCTGCCTTCGGCTCAGGTCATGATCCTGGGGTCCTGGGATCAAGCCCCGTATCGGGCTCCCTACTCCGCGGGAAGCCTGCTTCTCCCTCTCCCACTCCCCCTGCTTGTGTTCCCTCTCTCGCTGTGTGTCTCTCTGTCAAATAAATAAATAAAATCTTTAAAAATAAATAAAATAAAATCAGGTTAAATTTGAATAACTACATGTGGCTAGTGGCTGCCACATTGAACAGCACAGCTCTGGAGCAATGATTTCCAATACAAATGTAATGTGAGCCACGTACTTAATTTAAATGTTCTAGTAACCACATTTTATTTTATTAAGATATTTGTTGTTTTATATAACATGATTTGTGATAGGTGTGACTTTTTTAATTTTTAACTTAATTTTTATTTATTTATTTATTTACTTATTTTTTTAAAGATTTTATTTATTTATTTGAGAGAGAGAGACTGAGAGAGAGAGAGCATGAAAGGGGGGAGGGTCGGAGGGAGAAGCAGACTCCCTGCCGAGCAGGGAGCCCGATGAGGGACTCGATCCAGGGACTCCAGGATCATGACCTGAGCCGAAGGCAGTCGCCCAACCAACTGAGCCACCCAGGTGCCCTTTAACTTAATTTTTAAAAAAATTTTTATTTTTTATTTTTTAGAGAGAGCGTAAGCAGGGGTGAAGGGCAGTGGGAGAGGGAGAGAGAGAATCTTAAGCAGCCTCCACGCCCAGCATGGAGCCCCCACGCGGGGCTCGATCTCACGACCCTGAGATCCTGACCTGAACCTAAACCAAGAGTCAGACGCTCAACCTACTGAGCATTTTAGAAAGGGAAAGGAAATAAAGGGAAATTAGCTTTAATAATAGATTCTGTTGGGCGCCTGGGTGGCTCAGTTGGTTAAGCGACTGCCTTCGGCTCAGGTCATGATCCTGGAGTCCCGGATCGAGTCCCGCATCGGGCTCCCTGCTCGGCAGGGAGTCTGCTTCTCCCTCTGACCCTCCTCCCTCTCATGCTCTCTGTCTCTCATTCTCTCTCTCTCAAATAAATAAATAAAATCTTAAAATAATAATAATAATAATAGATTCTTTTTTTTTTTAAGATTTTATTTATTTGAGAGAGAGAGAATGAGAGAGAGCACATGAGAGGGGGGAGGGTCAGAGGGAGAAGCAGACTCCCTGCCGAGCAGGGAGCCCGATGCGGGACTCGATCCAGGGACTCCAGGATCATGACCTGAGCCGAAGGCAGTCGCTTAACCAACTGAGCCACCCAGGCGCCCAGATTCTGTTTAACCCAGTATATCCAAAATATTATTTCAAGAAAACATATTAATAAATGTTGTCATTGTATAGTAACAGTGAGATATTTTCCATTCTTTCTTCATGCAAAGTCTTTGAAATCAGCTATGTGTTTTACATTGTAGCATGTCTCCATGCAGATGCTAAAGGGTCAACAGTTAAAATGAAATGAAACAAAAAATAAAGTGATGTTTAATGGAAAAGCATTTTATACTGTTAAGTGTAAATGCACTAAAATCAGATCAAATAAATTCAGTTTCTCAGTCTCACTGAGCCCATTCTAGTATGGCTCATGGCTACCCTATCCGACAGTGAAGCAGTCTCTATTTTTGTGTAGAATACCTTCTCCGGGTTTGGGTGACACTGATACTCTGGGCCCTGCATCATGTTGATCACCGGGGCTGCAGGTGTCCCCGGCTCTGAGGAGCCCAGCAGGTTATCAGGCTGCCCTTGCCTACCCGCCCCCCGCAGGGGGCTGTCCCTGTGTGCAGCCCCCCACCCTCTGATGAGGTGCAGGAACCCACACAGTGGTCAGGGCTTCCTTGGACAAAGGAGAGGTTTTCGTCCAGTTCTGCCCATAAAAATGAGGCGTAGTCCTCAGAGAAGCTGTGAATTGTGACTTTGGGCCTCCTTCAGCAGCGGTTCCTGGGGATCCCGAGCCCCACGGTGGTCCACAGGATGGGTCTTTGCAGTGTCGCTGGGCATAGATGCCAGGTGGGCCCTCGGGGCCTGGGAGCAGCTCTCCTGTGCTGACACGGCTCCCCCCTCCCCCATGCTGAGTTCTAGAATCAATGAGCTCATGAGCTCTGCAAGGGCAGGGACTGGGGTCGCGCCTTTTTCATCCCTGTGTCCCGGCTGGAGCGTGGTGCCCGTGCCTATGGAAAGAATAAATGTATTCATGAATGAAGACTGACTTTAGGGCTGCTCCTGGTTTCCTTCCTTCCTTCTCTCCCCTCCTCCCTGCTCTACCTGCCCTCAGCCTCTGACCCCTCTGCACCCCGTCAGCCTGGAAGGCTGTCCTCTTCCCGACACCTGTCAGAACCCCAAGCCACCTTTTAGCTCCCCTACTCTGTCCGCCCTACCCAGGAGGCTCTGTGATGCCCCCCTTGCACCCCCTCTCCTTGCCCACTCCCTGGACACCTGCACTTGCCTCGTATGAGGATCACTTGTGTGTGTCAGTCTCCCCACCAGGAGGTGAGCTCCTTGGGGACAGAGCTGGGACTTACTCATCTCTGCACCTCCTGCCGGCCAGGTGCCATCATGGTGGGCGAGCCGGGGAGGGGCCCCGAGTGCCGCCGGGCTGGCCAGCCTGAGAACCGGGGTTGTGGTCCCCCCACGCAGGGTGTCACTGAGGGCTACAATGGCACCATCTTCGCTTATGGCCAGACGGGCAGCGGGAAGTCCTTCACCATGCAGGGCCTGCCGGACCCATCTTCGCAGAGAGGCATCATCCCCAGGGCCTTTGAGCACGTTTTCGAGAGTGTCCAGGTAGGGGCCTCGCGGCGGGAAGGGGCAGCGCCGGCGCTCAGGGTCTGGGGGCCCCCCTGGACGTTCGGGCGATGGGTCCCGGAGCGCCAGTGCCCTACGGCAAGGACTCTGAGCCTGTGGGAGCCTGCTGTGACCCGACACAGACGAGCAGAGGCAGGCTCTGGTTTCCGAGAGGGGATGGGAGAACTTCACATTGAGAAAATTCTGCCTCCCAGTTCCATGCTTTTCTCCTGCCATTTTTGGACTTTAACATTTCACTTGCTGTCCCATGCGGACCCGATGATCCAGAGCACCGGCCCGAGAAGGGGTTGTAACAATCAGAGCCTCCCTTTTTTATTAAGCAGTTGCTACAGACCAAGCCTAGCGCAAAGCCCTTTGCATCATTGCAACACCCACCCTGGCCCCGGGAGATCACCATTGTCCCCATTTTTGAGATAGGGAAGCCCAGACTTATTGCCCTTCTATGCTGGGCAAGACCCCGATGAGGTCTCAGCTAAAGGTGAGAATTGCTCCGGTGGTCACTCCTGGCCATGAGCAGAGATTCGTGCATCGGGGAAATGGCAGGGTGGGGACTGCGACCCCGGTCAGCCGCAGAGCCTACCGTACCTGCTCCCAGGACTCATGTTGGTGCCCCCCCACCAGGAACATTTGCGACAAGGAGAGATCAGACCATAACCAGTGCTTGGTCCTTACCTGTGGCCTCAGTTTCTCTACCTGAGTAATGGGGAGGCCTCTCTCATTTCGTTTCCCCTGAGGCTGTGGGGAGAGCATGCGACAGTAGCAATATGAGAATTATGCAATCAGAGGAGCCCGGGGGGCCCACCGAGCTGGAGAGGAGGGGCGGGCGGCTGACCAGGCATGCGGGCAGGGCCAGGAGCGTTGGGGACTCCCCTCCCCTTGATGTCACCTCTCCTGCCGCGATGTCCTTCCGTGACGTCCTGGCTGCAGAGGGGGAAGGTGACAGGGCCAGCCTTGGCAGGCTTCTTTGCTGTCCCTGTCCACGCCCTGCAGTGTGCAGAGAATACCAAGTTCCTGGTCCGGGCCTCCTACCTGGAGATCTACAATGAAGATGTCCGTGACCTTCTGGGGGCTGACACCAAGCAGAAGCTGGAGGTGGGCGCGGACGTGGCGGGGCAGGGAGGGGCAGGGGAAGGGTGGAGGTTGGCATCGGGAGGAGCTCCCTCAGAAACACGGGGAAGGTATCCTGGGGGCACATGCACCAGTTCAGACTAGAGTGGGGACTTTTGAACTTGAATTTTGGAGGATTCTCAGAGTGCTTGTTGCAGGGGAGGGGCTCACCGGCCTACCCCCGACCACACAGTGGGGGACTGGACCTTACCTGGGGTCATGCCGCCTATATCTGGTGAAGTAGATGGCGTCTTGTGATAGATTTCATTTGAAAAATGGGTTCCACTTCTAAAAATATTGCTTTGAAAATCTCTAAGGGCCCAAATAGCTAGAAAGACGGTGATTATGATTATCATTTATTGAGCACAATTTACTGACTGCTTTAGGCACATGATCTTATTACTAGTCCCAGCGATCCTGTTGGGTAGCTGCTGTCCCCAGTCTCCCAGTGTGGGAAGGCACGCTTAGGTTAATTCACTTGTCTATGTGTGTGGCCAAAACTGGACTTGAACCCAGGTCTGTCTGACTTCAAGGTCCTGAATCTCAACCATCCCATTTCATGGCTGTTCGTGGCCTCAGATTCTGGGACTTTGTTCCCCTTTGCAAGGGGTCTGGTGCAGGGCACCCAAGGACCGGTGACCTGACCCTTATAAAGTGAGGACTGAAGAGGGGGGTGAGGATGAGCCGCTCGCAGAGCCCAACGCACAGAAGGCATTCAGCGTGCTGACGTGAGGGGTGTCACACAAGACAGGCAGAACTTGGCTGACCCTTTGGGGAGCCCAGCGAGGTCAAGTGACCTGCCAGGACCAGACAGCCAGTTGGTGGCAAGGTTGGACCCAGGTCTAGGCCTGAGTGTGAGGCCTGGATTATGTGTCCTCTCTGGGACTCTTTAAATGCTGGGTGGGCCAGGTCAGGGCCAAGGGGGAGGGGCCAGCACAGGGGTGGGGGAGGGGGGGAGGCTGAGGCAATCCTGTGGCCAGAATGCCGATGGCTGCCCCTGACTCCCATGCTTCTTATCTGACCAAGCAACCAAGAGGCCCACCTCCTTCAGAGTCAGATTGCCCGAGTTGGAGCGTCACCCCCAAGGTTGCCATGGAGATTCCCATTTTATGGGTGAAATTGTCTGAGAGAATGTGACTTGCCTGAGGCTAGGAAGCCACAGAGGCAGGGTTGGACATTTTCTTTCTTTTTTAAAAAAGGTTTTTTAAATGAACGAACGAACGAATGAATGAATGAAATAGAGCATGTGCTAGTGCAGGGAGGGGCAGAGACGGAGGGGGAAGAAGAGGGGAAAGAAGAGGGAAAGAAAGAAGAAGAGCACGGAGACCAGCACGGGGCTTGATCTTATGACCCTGAGCCGAAAATCAAGAGTTGGACGCTCAACCATCAACCATCAACGGACTGAGCCACCAGGGCATCCCCAGGGTTGGACATTTTCTGTGACAAACTGCTTGAGTCTCCCCAGGGCACATGCCTTGACAGCCACGGGAAGGGGGGCAGAACCAGGTGAAGGGGCTGCTGCCGATGCCTCCTGGCCCTCCTGACCCCCGGTGACCTCTAGATTGGACAGGATGTCGGAATCACCTGGTTCCCCCCATCCCCCTATTCAGCTTGAGCCTCCTACTTGTCCCCTGACCACCCCCACCCCCCACTGGCCCTGGGTTCACCCGTGGGGTCTGTGAGTTCCTCTCTGACCTGCGACCACTCTTTGATCCAAGTGAACAGATCAAACCCCAGGGAGCAGCTGTCTTTAAAAATGTGTTTGTTCTGGCCATACTGTGGAAAAATCCCTAAGAATTTGAGCTGGAAAAACTCTTGAGAGCTTCTAGTCGGCCCTTTCCTAGTACAGATGAGGAAACTGAGTCCCAGGGAAGGGAAGGGACGTGGCCAAGGCCACACAGCTAATTACTGGTAACGGTATTGGTACCAGAACTTGTGGGATCTGAATGGTCAGGTGCTTCCCTGCCAGAATTTTTTGGGGTCAGCAATATAGAGACTGCCTAGGGGCCAGTAGTGGGTTCTGGCCAAGGGAGGTGCCTCCATCATGCAGCAAAGACTGGGATGACCTCCGGGTGCCAGGCGCCAGGCCATGTGCTACAGCGGGTCCCCATGGGTGTGTGACCTCCCTTCCTCCCAGGCCCCATCCCGACGGAGCCCCGGCCTGGCACCTCCTCCTCAGCTCCTGACAAACACAGCAGCGCTTTGCTCGTTCTATGCAGGAACCTCCAGCCGCCCACCTGGAGTCTTTTTACTGTCTTCTCTCTCCTGGAGCTGGAGCAGCTGAGTCATAGCTCAGCCCCCAGACGGGGAAATGGCGGGGGGGGGGGGGGGAGGAAGGCACAGGACGTTGCTCCCACGTGTCAGTCCCGAAAGGCCAGCCTGGAGGATCAGGGTCCCCACCCCCACCCCCCGCCAACCTGCACTGGGGCAGCAGGGGGCCCTCCCCTCCTTCCACACCCAGGACTCTAGAATGGCCTCCATTACCCGGGCCCTGAGGGCCAGCAGCTGTGCCCCTGCCCCATGTGGGCCCCAGACCTCAGGCTTGGGGAGTCAGGCTGCCCCAGGGGCGGGGGCGGGGGCTGCCAGTGACAGGTGCCCTCCGAGACCCTCCCCGCCACTAGTGCACGGGGTGGGGGGTTGGGGGGGTGACCCGCTGTCCCCTGGAGAAGGCGCAGATGGTTGCTCCTGGGAACCTCAGAACAGCCTTAGGAGGAGGTGCTGCTCTGATCCTTTATTACAGAGGAGGAAACTGAGGCTCAATGCACCTGGGTAAGACCAGCCTCCGGGCACACAGTCAGGAGAGGGTGAGGCTGGATTTGAATCCAGGTGTCCAGTCCTCACAGCATGGGCTCTGAACCCGTGCTTAGCACAGGGCCTGAAGGTTTTGGTGATTAGTGGTGAGTAGATCAGCCCGGGTGAGGGATTTGGGGAGGCAGAGTTTCACTCCCTCCCTCAACCACCACCACCAACCACCCTCATGGAGGCAGCCCACAATGGGCGGTGGAGGTAAGGCCCTCACCACCTCTCAGTGTACTGGGGTCCCGTGTCAGGAGCCCCTCCTCCCTGGGGGCGTCTGCCCCTCGCTGGCCGCATCCCAGCATCCCAGCTGTTGCCATGGTGCCCAGGCTCCGGGCTGGGTCTCAGGGAGGAGTAGTTACTCGGGCGCTCAGAGCCTCCCTGGGAGAGCAGGGCTGAGGCTTGCAGATAGGGCAGTGGCATCCCTACTTGAAGGCTCACCCCCCGCCCCCGTGCCTTGTGCTGGTGGTGCCCCTCCGAGTACCCACTGGACTGGCTTTTAGCTCCATCCTCTCCTCAGTCCTCATAGTGGTCTTGCAGAAATAGAATTGATCATCAGAAGAGGGAACCAGGACAAAGAGAGGCAAATTGACTTCTCCAACCAGCAAGGGGCAGAGCCAGGTCTCTAACCCTGGGGGGCTGCCCGACTAGGAGACTAGGAGCCTGCTACTCCCCCAGAGGCCGGATCAACCGCTCACTCCCCAGGGCCCAGGGCCCAGGGCCCAGGCCGAGGTCACAGCAGGAGGCAGCCCAGGCCCCCGGGGCCTGGTGATGGGAGCCAGAGGGCACTACCGAGCATTTCAGACCGTCTTCAGCCCCCCTCTACAAGGTCTCCTGCTTCTGGCCTTGGTGCTCCATCCTCACCCCCACGTCCTAGGTCAAGGTCGGCCCTTTGTCATTTCAAACTTCAGTTTCTGTGGGATGCTCCAGCCTCTCCATACTCTGCTTCTGGAGTCTTCCATCACCTGGGACCCCACAGCTTCCCTGATAGTAATAGCTCTGTGACCTTCAGCAAATCCCTTCCCAGTCTGTGCCTTGGTTGCTTTTCTGTTCTGGGAAGCCCAGTCCTTCAGTCTGGGCCTGGGGGTTTCTCCGCACCCGAGCAGATAGGGGGAGCCTGTGTGCCCACCCCCCACCCCACGCAGCAGCGGCCCGGCCCCACGTGGGACCCCGAAGCTGCCTGAAGCACCAGAGCCTTCTGTGGCTCAGACCAGCAGGGTGGGGACTTGTCCTAATTCATTCTGCTCTCGCCAGAGTGGTTTTATTTCCTCACACTTGAAAAATATTGCATTTCACAGCTCTGTGTCAGCAACAAAACAACTTGGCTGCCTGAAGAGCAAGCAGGGAGCAGTCAGATAAATTAATTTACTCACTGCCATCACGCTGACGCCTGGAGGCTGGTTTGAGCTGCGGGCCAGTGGGAGTTCTGGGCAGCAAATGGCCCTTTGCCGGCCACGATCCAAGGGCCTGGGAACGTTCCTATTTCCCTGGAGCCAGAGCAGAGAGGCGATCAGGGGCCGTGTCGACCGGGCAAAAGAGCAGCTTTCAGAGCCCTCGGGTGGCTACAGGGTCAGCCCCTGGAAGCTGAAGCTCCCAGTCTAGAAAGGCCCTTCATAATAATCGCACCACCACCAACAGTGAGGACAGCGCCTGGCATTACGGAGCACTTGCCCGGTGCCAGGCCCTGTGCCAAGCCTTGGACGGGCCTTATTTGACGGACTCCCCACCACATCCCTAAGAGACGCGTATCTCATACCCATTTTACAGATGTGGAAACTGAGGCCCGGGGAGGTTAAGTTACTGGCTCAAGGTCCCACAACAAGGAAGAGGTGGGGTGGGTTTGAGGCTGGTTCCACCTGGAACAAAGCCCCTGCCTGTTGCAGGGACCTTGAGGTGCCACCCTGCACTGCAGGAGGGCAGAGGGGGCCTGAACTGGGCCCTTGACTGGGTTCCTTGGGGATCCCTGCCCCCACCCGGCTCTGACCCGTCCCTCCTGCCCACAGCTGAAGGAGCACCCGGAGAAGGGGGTGTACGTGAAGGGGCTCTCCATGCACACGGTGCACAACGTGGCCCAGTGCGAGCACATCATGGAGACGGGCTGGAAGAACCGCTCGGTGGGCTACACGCTGATGAACAAGGACTCCTCCCGCTCCCACTCCATCTTCACCATCAGCATCGAGATCTACGCCGTGGGTACGTGGGGCTGGTGGGGGCGGGGGAGCCGGAGCTGGGCACCGAGACCCTTCACCTCCCGGGGCCTCGGGGGCCCCATCTGAAACTGGGAGAAGATGCTCGAACTGCCTGGAGGCCACCCAAGAGGACCCTCCCGTACGAGGGCCCACATTTCCAGGATAAGGGGCATCATCAACAATAATACTGCCGCTGGCAGCTCATCCTGAGCACCTACTACATGCCACACAGCTTCTGTGCGTTAGCTCGGGTACTCCTTGCCACAAGCCCGAGAGGTGGCTGCCAGCATCGTCCCCCATTTTACAGATGAGGAAACCCAGGTCCCACAACTATAAAGCATCAGAGCTGGCCCTCGATCCCTGGACCTTTTGGAGTCTCCTCTTTCTCTCAGGGCTCCCCACCCTTCAGTCATCTCCCCCGTCCCCCTTTCTGAAAGAGTTCCTGAGAAGGGAAGAGGAAGGGAAGAAACTCGTATTTATTTCTGGCTGCCGGTGGCTGCTGTGCTAAGCACTTCACAGGCTTCCTTCCGTTTACAGCCCACGGAAGTCCTAGAGGCAGGCATTCTAATGGCCATTTTACAGACAGGAAAACTGAGGCTCTGAGAGGGCTGAGGCTTGCTTGTGCAGGGTCCCACCGATAAGCGGGGAAGCTGGGATTTGAACCCCAGTCTGACATCTGGGCTTTTCCAAATAACACGACAGCTGCCTCCGGGTCCATCATGAATAGAACTCTCGAGAGCACTGCAGCGGGAAACAGCCTCGGCCCAACCAGAAACATAATTCTGGAGAGATCCCCAACCCAAGGTCAAAGCCGGGGTACCTCCTTACGACATCGCCCAGCATATGTGGTGACCTGGTCCCAGGCCAACCGCCTGGTGCTTGCTGGGTCTGAGTCTCCCCAGGATGCTGATAGGGGTTGGGCAGGGTCAGTGAGGTCACAACGTCATGCAGTGAGGCTGTGGGGGGGGGCAGGGACTAGGGCAGGTGAGGACACATCTGGAGGGAGGAGGACAGAGTGCCTTTGGGGGCGCCTCTTGGTCTTTGCAGAAGGGTTTGAAGGATGTAGCAGGCTGCCGGGAAACAGGCTTTTAAACAAATTTATTTTTTTATTTTTTTTTAGAGAGCGAATGCGTGGGTGGGGGGAGGGGCAGAGGGAGAGGGAGAATCTCAAGCAGGCTCCACACTAGGCATGGAGCCTGATGTAGGGCTCCATCTCATGACCCCAAGATCACAACCTGAGCCAAAATCAAGAGTCAGACGCTTAACCAACAGAGCCACCCAGGCACCCTGCAAACAAATTTAAAAAGATGTTTTTCATTTTCGTTATAAAATAAGTTCAGTAAAGCTATTTAGGAATTACAGAAAGGTAGGTAAAATTACTCATAAACACAACTATTAGCATTTAAGCGTATTGGGGTTTTTTGGTCCTTTTTATCCTATGAAATTTATAAACACAGTCGAACTCTTCTGTCGTATTGAGTTTCTCCCCTGCGTTCCATTCCCCGCGCCATCCCTGAGCATCCTTCCTGCCGTGTCTTTGTGACCACGGGTACCGGCGAAAAGACAGCGCATCTCTCGTGAGCTTTTCTAACCAATCCTTAGAGGGCGGTGAGGTTGTTTCCCGTCTTGGGGTGTTGTAAATAATGCCACGATGAACATCTTGGTGCACCAAGCCTTTTCTGCTTTTAGAGTCATTTCCTCGGATAACATTTCCAGGAGTGGACCTCCTGGGGCGAAGGATACAAACCTGTTTAAGGCTCCTGGTACATTCTGCCAAGAGCATGGTTCCCAGGCCCTCCGTCCTGCTGCTTAAAAAAAAAAAAAAAAAAAAGCCCCCAACCTCAACCCCCTCACGTGTCCAAGCCTCTCCTGGGTACCAGCCGGACCCCGGGTTGCTGTGTGCATGGACAACACGAGGCCAGTTCTGGTTTCAACCCGCAGGAGACCGAGGAGGAAGCCGCCTGCCCCTCCGCCTGCCTCCCCACTCCCATCTCATTGGGAACTGAGTCCAGTGGTTTTCCCCAAGTTTCATAGCTACTAAGACATAGAATCAAGATTGGACCCCCAAGATCTGTGCCTTCAAAACCTGTGCTCTGAGCCCCTGTTACCAGCCAGTGCCCGACTCCTGTCACCCTCAACACAGGGGTCGGCCTTGTCTGCACAGCCTTGGTCACCGCAGAACCGGGCTTGTTCTCGGGGGGATGAACCCCTGCTGTGTGCTGGGCCCTGGGTCAACTCTGTAAAAATGTGCTCTCCTTTTACTTTACTCCTCCCAACAACCAGCCCGAGCGGGGAGCTACTGTTAGTCTCATTTTGTGGCTGTAAGAATTGAGGACCAGGGAGGTACCTGGCTCTGCTAGGGTCACACAGTGAGGAGGAGGCAGGGCTGGGTTGGGAACCAGGGCCAAGAGCCTCCAAAGCCAATGTCTTTTGCAGTGAAGGATACAAGGCTCTGGGTGACCCAATCACATCCCCCCACTCTTGGCCTCACAGGACATCTGGGAGAGCTATTGTGATCACTGAAAGAAATCCCACTGCGCTCAGAGAATAGTCTGGACCTTCCAGCCCCTGCTCCCCGAGTCAAGCAGCTCTGTGTTCTTTTTTTTTTTTTTTAAGATTTTTTTATTTATTCATTCGAGAGAGATACAGAGAGAGAGAGAGAGAAAGCATGAGCAGGGGGAGAAGCAGAGGGAGGGGGAGAAGCAGACTCCCCGTTGAGCAGGGAGCCCAATGCGGGGCTCCATCCCAGGACCCTGGGATCATGACCCGAGCCGAAGGCAGACGCTTAACCATCTGAGCCACCCAGGCGCCCCAGCCCTGCGTTCTGACCTTGGGTCCACCACTTAGCAGCGGTGTGACCTTGGGCCAGTTAGATGCCTTTCTGAGCCTGTTTCCTCTTCTGTAAGATGGGGATGGTGATAGCGCCTCTCTCTTGGGCTCCTACGTGGCTGATGGTGGGAGCGCTTGGTGCCTGGTGGCTAAGTGCCCCACGTGGGGCTCACTGAAAGCCCCTTACCCTCCGCCTGGTCCGTCCACAGACGAGCGGGGCAAGGACCATCTCTGTGCTGGCAAGCTGAACCTGGTGGACCTGGCAGGCAGCGAGCGGCAGTCCAAGACGGGTGCCACAGGGGAGCGGCTCAGGGAGGCCACCAAGATCAACCTGTCGCTGTCGGCTCTGGGCAACGTCATCTCGGCCCTGGTGGACGGGCGCTGTAAACACATCCCCTACCGGGACTCGAAGCTGACGCGGCTGCTGCAGGACTCGCTGGGTGGCAACACGAAGACGCTGATGGTGGCCTGCCTGTCACCCGCAGACAACAACTATGACGAGACGCTCAGCACACTGCGCTATGCCAACCGGGCCAAGAACATCAAGAACAAGCCATGTATCAACGAGGACCCAAAGGATGCCCTCCTGCGCGAGTACCAGGAGGAAATCAAGAAGCTGAAGGCGATCCTGGCCCAGCAGATGAGCCCCAGCAACCTGTCAGGTGGGTCGCTGGGGAAGGAGGTGGCAGGAGGGGCCCAGGGCTGGGGACAAAGGCTCTCCCCCTTAGTTTTCTGCCTCCGGCTGCCCATCTGAGAGACGCAGAAGCAAAGCCTCATCGCCTCTCCGCTTCCTGTGAGCATGGCTTTTGAACAGTCAGAGAGAGCCTGCTTGGTATGGCCGGATGGTATCTGCTCCCTGACGGACCCAGGAAGAGGTCTGTTTGGTCTGTTCCATCAGCCGTGGGCTCTGTTGCCTGCGCCCCGCCTCCAGTCTGCGCATCCGCCATCCCACCTGTCTGTCTGCCTGCTGTCTCTGTGGCAGCGTCGTGATGCTGTGCTGCTGAGCAGTGGGGTGACTGACCCCGCCACGTCCCGCCCCCTCTCCCACTTAGGCACCTTGTGATCGCAGCTCTCGCACCCACGTGTTTGGCTGTCATCCGGCAAGTCGAGATCTATACGTGCAGCACAGGCTTTGCAGGGTCCTTGCAAACACCAAGGTTTTCTTTACCTGAGAACCCCTTGGGGAAGGAAGCACAAAAGAGCCTGAGTCTATTCACTCATCCACCTCCCTACCCACCTTCGTCTCTGTCCATCCATTCTACATACTCATTCATTTACTCACCCATCCACCCATCCATCTGCCTATACATCCATCCACCTACCCACCCATCCACATACCCATCCACACACCCACCCATCCACTTACCCACCCATCCACTTACCCACCTACCCAGCCATCCACCTACCCACCCACCCGCCCATCCACCTATCCATCCACTCACCCACCCATCCATCCATCTCCCCATCCACCCACCCATCCATTCATCCACCCACTCATCCATTCATCCACCCATTCATCCAATCCACTTATCCCCCCACCCATCTACCCATCTATCCACCCATCCACTCAACCACCCATCCATTCACCCACCTACCCACATTCCCATCCACCCACCCACCCACCTACCTACCGACCCATCCATCCATCCATCTACTCACCCACCTACCCACCCACCCATCCACCCACTCATCCACTCACCCACCTACCCTCCCACCCATCCACCCACCCGTCCACTCACCTGCCTACCCATCCACCCATCCATTCATCCACCCATTCATCCATCCACTCACCCCTTCACCCATCTACCCACCCATCCACTCACCCACCTACCCACCCACCCATCCACTCACCCACCCATCCATCCACCCATCCACTTACCCATCCACCCACCCACCCATCCATCTACCCATCCATGCTCCCATCCACTCATTCATCCATCCGTCTACCCACCTACCCATTTACCCATTCATCTACCTACCCTTCCACCTACCTACCCACCCTCCCACCCACTCCATTATTTATCCATCTACCAACTTACCCATCCACTCACCATCCATCCACTTAATCCACCCATCCATTCATGCATTCTCTCTACCCGTCCCATCCATCCTACCATCCATCCACCCATCCATCCATCCACTCCACGTTGTCATCCATCCTTTAATGTGTGCTTCCACTCATCCACCCATCCATCCATCTAAAGCTCAGCAAGCAGCCCCCTGTGTGTGGACCTGCGCCGGGCACTGGTAACCCAGAGATGAATCCGCTCCAGGCTCTGCCTCATGGGCATCTAGTCTCCTGGGGGAGGACACTCCACCAGACCATCAAGTACATGTAGGTCAGAGCTGAACTGGCCACTGCAGGGCAGAAGGGGATACGTGACCAAGTCTGTCTGGGGGTAAGGTGTGGTCAGTCAGGGAAGGCTTCACAGAGGAGGGGGTGATTGAGCAGAGTCTTGGGGGCTGAGAGGTCTCCCTGTTAGCCAGGATGAGAGTGGCCAGTGTGTGCAAAGATGCACAAAACTGTAAGGGCATTTGGGGGCCACAAGTTGTGCTGCTTGGCTGCCGAGCAGGGCGGTGGGAGATGGCCAGGGAAGGCCTGGACGTGCTGGGCTGGAGCGGGCCTTCAGCGCCACGATGAGGGATTTCACATCTGCCTTCCTCCTCTTTCCGTGCTTCCCCACCTCTGCCCCTCCTCACCACCAGGACCTCTCCTCTCTCCACACTCACTCCGGAGGTGGCTTCACCTTGTGGCTTAAAACATTGTCTCTGTGCTCCTGGCTCCCATTTGGCCCCCCAGCCTGGCCGTGTGATTTGTGTCTGGGTCTTAATTCATAAAGGGGACTGAGTGGGCCCTCGGGGAGGTCAGCGTTACACTAGAAACAAGAGGATGGAACCCCACACGGGGCCACGAGGAAAAGCACCAGAGTTGGTCGGGAGGCAGGGAGGAGCAAGGCGGATCCGGAGCCAGAACTGGATTTGGAGCTATTACTGGGGTTTCTGTGGGAAAGTCGAAGGCAGGAGCAACAGCCTAGGACTGGCTGGCATGAAGGATTCCTGTGAGTGGGGGCACAGGGGCAGTCCCTGCTTGTCCGGCCCTGGCCCCCGGGGACTTAGGGCAGGGGAGATCCTGGCTGAGAGTGTGAGTTAGACAGAGGGTGGGAGGGGTGTGGACTTGGCATTGCTTGGTTGGCAGGTGAAAGGTGGGCCGATAGCTTGTTTGCTTTCTCTAGGACTTAGCTGGCCCTGCCAGGGGCCGTCTCTCCCTGGCCAGCAAGTCCCCCGTGTTATCAAGCATCACAAAATATAGACAATTTTAAAAACAATTGCTACACAGTATCCTCTGAATTCCAGACTTGAATATCCAGCTGTTTAGCGATCCTTTTGAACTTAGCATGTCTGCCACTGAGCTCTTGATCTCCCCGAGCCTGCTGGTCCCCACGCAGGTGATGGCAACCCTTTCCTTCTGAGTGTTCAAGCCCGAAACCCTGGGGTGACCCTTGGTTTCTCGTTTTTGCTCAAACCTGTATCCAATCCAGCAGTAGATCTTGTCTCTACCTTTAAGACATGTCCAGAATCTGTCCACCACTGTCCCCTGAGTCACTAGCATCTCCTACCTGAATTTCTACAGAGCACCCCCACCCTCCAACGGGTATCTGGGTGTCTGCCCTTGTCCCCCTCAGTACATTCCCCACAACAGGGAGGTCCTGTTCAAATACAAGTCCTTTTCCTGCCCTGCACAACCCCCCCAAGCCTATTTAACCGAATCAAAGCCGAAGTTGTCAGCATAGCTTTCAGCGTCCCTGTGATCCTCCCCCCCCCCCCCCCCGAGCTCCTCTTCACCCATTCTCTCCCTCCTTGCTTCACTCCAGCCACACTGGCTTCCTGGCTGTTCCTGGAATAGTCCAGGCCCACTCCTGCCACAGGACCTTTACACTCACTGCTCTTTTCTGTCTGGAAAGCTCTTCCCCAAGATCTCTGCCTGCTTCTCTTTCCCGCTTCCTTCAGGTCACTGCCTTTGCCTTACCCCATCTAAGAGGTCCTCCCTGAACACACTGTTTAAATTGCACCCCCTCCCCTTGGTTCTTACTCCTGATCACCCTCCCTGCTTTCCACTTGTAACATGTTAGCATTTTGCTTATTTGTTGTGTGTGCCTTCTTCCTCTGATTGAAAACTCAACATGGGTGTGGAGTTTTGTCTGTTTTGTTCTGTGCTGGGTCCCCAGTGTCTAGAACATGCAGGTGCTCAAGAAATATTTGTTGAATGACTGAGTAAATTAGTATTTTTCATAGAGACGTGCTTGAAATAAATCCAATACTGTGAAGTGTGTTTTGCCTAAGTATGTGGTTGTCTCTTTACGGATTTCTGCTTAGTTCCTGCACACTCTGTGCACCTTGGTCACAGCCCTCCTTTCTGTCTTTCTGCCAGCCCTGCTGTCCAGTCAGGCCCCCCTAAACCCTGTCCAGATTGAGGAGCAGCTGGTGCCCCCACCTGTGATCCAGTCTGACACAGAGGCCGAGAAGCAGCTGATCCGGGAGGTGAGACCCCGGGCAGGTGGGAGAAAGGCAAGCAGGGGGTGCCCAGCAGGAGAGCATTTGCTGAACGATATCATTTTACCCCCACCAGCATCGTGGGGTTGGTACAACAGTCTCCTTTTTGGAGCTCAGAAAGCTGAGGCTCAGGGAGGGGCCATGACTTGCCCAAGGTCCCATGGCTAAGGAGAGTCTGAGCTGGGGTTTGAACTCAGGTCCTGACTCCAGGATGGAGCCCCTCCCCCATCAGGGCCTGCATGGGGAGCACAGGGAGGGGTGTGGGGCGTCTGCAGGGGTGCTCTCTTCCGTACTGTAGGACGGGGTGGCCGTGGGTTGATGGAAATGGAGGCCTTCCTGGTGGTGGGAACGGCCTGTGCTGGGCTGGGGTCGGGGCGTGGGGAGAGTGGAAGGAGTTGGCCCCCAGTGAGGGTGCCAACAAGCCAGAGGCTGAGAGCCAGGCGGCCTGGTGGGCAGTGGGGAGCCCCCAGGCATCCATTTGACCAGTGGATAAGTGGGGTTTGGGCCTCCCAGAAAAAGCTGTCACCTGGGGACGCCTTCTCCTCCCCCATGTGTGCCTTCCAGCATCTCTGGGAACCTGCAGGGAAGGTAATAATACCCTGGTTTACAGATACCCAGCTGATCCCTAGAGGGGGGCTTACACAGCCAGACTCAGCAGAGCCCCTAACTCCCGGCTTAGGCTCCATCCCGACTCCAGGCCCCACTGGTTTCTGGAGATTCCTGCCACTTGAGGGCCCCATTCAGAGCCTGAGCATGGGGTGGGACACTGGCTTTTTCCTGGTGGAGAAGGAACGCCAGGCCGGGACAGCTCTGCAGGGACTGGGTCCCTGGATGTGTCCACAGCTGGGCCTCTACCCTTCAACTATAAACTCAGCTATAAGCCCTGGGGCCCCTGGGAGCCCTGGTGAGGTTGTGGGGGTCTGGGGCCCAGCCTCTGTGGGGGGCAGACTGGGTAACGCCTGGGAGTCTGAGTCATGTGGGCTGGAGGGCTGGGAGAAATCAGCCAGAGTCCCCAAGGGCTGCCCATGACAGGCAGAGGCTTTTACTGTTTGGGGGGAGGCTCAGTTGTGGCCCCCAGATGGACTTTGTCAAGGGGCTCTGCTCCTTGCCGCCTTGGAGGCTCCTGGGGTGGGGCCGATGTCAGGTCCATCTCTGGAGCCCTGGACCCGGCTCCTGGGGAGGCATGGGATGGGGGCCTATTGGGGATGGCTGAGCCACAGAATGAGAGGAATCACATCTTGGGGGTTCAGAGTGGGTTTTGGAATCATGTAGCAACAGGTGACATCAATCACAAAACAGTAGGGCTGGGAGGGTTGGCCAGGGGCTGGGATGGAAGCTTCCCCCGCAGGGAGCCTGGTTGGGTGGGGCAGGCATCCTGGCCAAGGGGCAGGGTGCCGCCATCCCCTCTGGGTCACCAGAGAGGAGACTCTGCTCCGGGCTGGCTGCCCCAAGGAGCCAGTGATTGGCAGATCCTTCTGCCCCGGGGATGGTGGTTGCTGGCCTTGTCGTCACGAGATAGGCCCTGTGGCCACTGCATCCGAGCACTACCACCTGTCCACCACCGAGTGTCCTCTCAGGCCCTGGTGGTTCTTCTGTGAGCCACACTTGGAAGAAGAGTCAAAGGTGTCTGTCTTCCCTCTCGCCTTCTTTCCCATTTCACTTATGACCCACTCATATTTTTTAAGCATCTACTATATGCCTGGAACCGTGCTTTCCTTTCCCATCCAGAACCAGTCAGGACACTCAGGATGAGGGAGTGGTCTCTGTGTGGGGCGGCGAGGGCACTGGGCCAGGGATGGGCTCCGCCGCGAGCGGGAGATGTGACTCTGTGGGCCTCAGTCTCCTGGCTGCACCAGGGAAGGGGGGGATTTGGACCAGAAGATTCCTAGGGTCCATCCAGCTTTTCCGTTCTGCAAGTCCAGTTCTTGGTGGGCTCCGTGCCCTGGGACGGGCCGTTTAAGCTCGCAGAGCCTGTTTTCTCATCTCCAGGAAGCTTTCCCTTGACCGTGGGAAGGGGAGCTGAGGGGTGCCTTCTCACCATTGGGCTGTGGAACTGGCCCAAGCAGGACTCAGGCGGCTGGGTTTGCAAGCATTTCCTGAGCCCCTGCTGGCTCCGGGCCCTGTAGCTGGGGGTGCGCAGAGGCCCATGGGAGAGTTGTTCTGTTTCAAGTATTGGAGCCCATTCTGTAACTGCTGGGGGTGATCTAGCACCGAGAGAAGCCCGCGCTATGGGAGGGAGATGGGGATGGAAAGAGCAAAGTCGTGGAGCGGGTGGCTTGGCTTCACATGGTCTGTCCCCTGTCACAGGAGGACGAAGAGCTTTCGGGCAGACCTGCAGGTGGATGGGAAGGTGTGGGCTGGGATGGTGAGGGCATGCTTCAGTGTTCTCTGGGAAGCAGGAGATGGGAAATGGGAGAGGTGGAGGGTTGCGGAGGGAGGGAGAGCGGAAGGACCCAGAGGGGCGCTGGGCGACTTAAGAGGTCCTCTGTGGTTCAGGGTCACACATGTACCACTGGGACTGGAAGTCGGCCCTGCTGTATGTGCACATGTGCCCATGTGCGTGTGTGCGTGTGCTCGTACGCATGTGTGTGCACGCGCGCTCCTGTGTCTCCAGCCTGATCTCGCTGGTGCGCAGGTGCGACGAGGCTGAGGCCTGGGTGTCACCGGAGCCAGGGCCGCGCTGGCAGGGACCTGTGGAGGGGGCAGGGTGGGAGTCAGGGGTGCTTGCTGAAGGATGAGTGTAGGGTAGGGCCCGAGTCCCCTCTGGGGAGGAGAGGAAGCCAGGGCAGGGGGGCGGGGGGCAGGGAGAAAGCAGATGGGGTGTAGGAGGTCTCCTGTGGCCGCTGGAGAGCTGCATGGTTCTGGGCAAGTCACCTCTCTGGGCCCTGGTAACCCCACGTGTTGCCCTGAGGCTCAAGTGCATCTCAAATGTGCCACAGAATGTGCAGTCACATATTGATGACCCTCTGTCCCCTTCTGTCCCTCCCCGAGAGCCCAGGTCATAGTGTCCGTGCCATTGTAGAACGCCGGGCTCGTTCTGTGCTTCTGGAAGGGTCCTGATGAGGTGGGCGTGTGCACAGGGGCTCTCCCTCCCCTCCCCCTGCCCCGTCCGGCTGGCTCTCTCAGGGGCGGCTCCACGACACAGAAGGTCGGGTACTGTCCTTAGCGCGTAGCCCCGGCCCCGCCTGCGGGAGCCGCGCGGAGAAGCCTGAGCGGTCCGGTTGTCCTTCCGGCCAGCGGTCGGCTCCAGGCACCTGTGGACTCAGGAGTTTCCCCCGAGCCCCTCCCTCCTCTGTGCTGGCGGCCGAACTGCAGGAGGGGACGGTGGTCAGGGAGGGCCGCTTGGAGGGGCTGCTACTGAGCTGAGGCCTGAAGGAAGAGCTTGCTGGGGGGCGAGGGTAAAGCCCCGGAGGCAGGGGGACATGGGCTGTCGAGGTGGAAAGTAGCCTGTGTGTCCAATGTGGCAAAATGAGGTATATCCGCAGGGTGGGCCGTCCTGATCTCTGGGGCTCAGTCAAGTCAGGAGGCGTAGATTTCGTCCTGTAACATAGGAGCCACTGAACCTCGGTCTAGGGGCGCCTGGGCGGCTCAGTCGGTTGGGCGTCCGACTCTTGATTTCGGCTCAGGTCGTGCTCTCAGGGTCCTGGGATCGAGCCCCACATCTAGGCTCTGTACTCAGCGGGGAGCCTGCTGGAGATTATCTCCCTCTCCCGCCGCCCTCTCCTCTTCCTCCTCCTCCTCTCTCTCTCTCTCTCTCAAATGAATAAATAAAATCTTTAAAAAAATGTAGATAAAATTCAGAAGGGCCTTCACGAGCCAATTTCGTCCCCGTGTTGTGTAGGTAATTTTAACTTTGTTCTTTTGGCTTATTGGTATTTCCCGCGTTGTTTGAATGACAGAGAAGGCGAACTGAAAGCCGCCTTGAGGAGTGGTGGCCTGACGCTGCGCCCCCATCCCGTGTCCCCCCCACTCCCAGGAGTACGAGGAGCGCCTGGCCCGGCTGAGGGCCGACTATGAGGCGGAGCAGGAGTCCAGGGCCCGGCTGGAGGAGGATATCGCTGCCATGCGCAGCTCCTACGACGTGAAGCTGTCCACGCTGGAGGAGAACCTGCGAAAGGAGACAGGTGGGCGCCTGGCCCGGGCTGTCGGGAGGGTGGCCAGTGGGCTCCCCTCCCCATTTTACTAACTGGCACTTATAGAGCACCTTCCTATGCGCCAGGCTCAGTTCTAGTTACTCCTCAGTACAGCCCAGCAAGGTAGGTACCACCATGAGCCTCATTTTATAGGTAAGGAAACTGAGGCACAGAGAGGGTGGGTAATTTGTCCGTGGTCATACAGCTGGTGAAGTGAGTCAGGATTGGAACCCAGGCAGTGTTCTCACCCACCGAGCACTTTATCCGTGAAGCCGTGGCTCCAGGCTGGTCCCTAGCCCAAGGCTGACTTAGCATTACAACGTATCACCCATATTTCATGGGTAAGTTCCTTCCCCCCGTTTCTGCATTTTCTAGTCTCCTCTTCTTTTTGAACCCACATCCCAAAATAAGGATTCAATTATTATCAAGAACTTTCACCTTGCTGAAGATTTTCCTTGTCTTTTTGACATTCTAGAACGTTCCACCCTACCACTATCATCCAAACACCTGTGCTGCCAGGCAGCTCAGACTTCCTAGCACTCACCAAAATACTATAAAATCCACCTTGTAATGAGGACGATATTGGTCACATTGTGGGTGTCATTTATTGGGCATTGCTGTGTGGCAGGCGCTAGGTGCTAGGTACCCCATCAGTGAGTGAGGACGCATTGAATCCTCACATTGCCAGTGTGCCAACTGAGGCTTGGAGAGCTTCCGGCTGCTGAGCTAGGGAGTGGATGTCCTCTTTCAGCAAAGAGAACGTCAGGACTCTCTCAGGGGAGCCCAGGACACAGTGACAAAGAAGTGGGTGGATGTAAAGCCCCTGAGCTGGGAGCCCTAAGGAGGCCTGTGGGATTGCAGTCTCATCCACACTGGCAGACCCAGAGGAGAGGGAAGGACAGGTTCTAGCATGTTCTGTCCTTCAGAGTGTTCCCCCAGTCCAGTTTGAATATTAGGCCTCCAAGTGGTTTTATTTGATCTAACAATCATCCACAGTGTTCATTTAACTCCCATGGATCTAGCGTTTTCTGTGGATGAGAGCCCTGAGCAGGACGCCCTGTGGGGGCCCCTCAGGGTCTCGGGTGTGAAGTCTGCTTGCTGATCGGGAGCTCTTGGCCTTGGAGGCCATGAGACCCACAGGGCAGTCACCTTCTGTGTGAAGAGCAGACCCAAGGCAACTAATGGCTGGGGAGGTCAGAGAATGGAGAGCTCCTGGTGCTGGTCAGGGAAGACTTCCTGGAAGAGGAGGAAGGAGACAGGGTCTGAGTCCTGATAGAGGAGAGGGTGGAGGTGGGAGGCCAGTATTTGGGGGCCTGGGAGGCTCTGGCTCTTAAGCCCGTCCCTTAGAGATGGTGTGTTTGGGGCTGACCCCCAGGGGCTCGCTCGTCCTCCACTGTAAGGAGCTAAAGGGAGTCTCCATTTGCAGAGGCTGTCCTCAAGGCAGAGGTCCTCAAGGCGCAGGGCACATCCAGGGCTGAGTTTGCCAACAGGTCTGAGTGCTCCCCCACGTTCCACTCCGAGATGGCCCTGAAACCTGGGATCCACTCCATGCTGCACACCCTGCCCGGCGGGGATGTCTCCAAGACTGAGCTTTCTCCCGGGTTCGAGGAGCTGCCCGCGGCGGAGACTTCCAAGTCTGAGGTGTCTCTGGGGTCTGATGACTCTTCCACGCTCGAGGAAACCTCCATGTCCGAAGCCTACCCGGGGCCCCAGGAGCCTTCCGACGTGGAGTTCTCCGTGCCTGAGGCGGAGGCCCCGAGCAGCTACCTCCCAGAGCCGCACCTCAGCCCGGGGGCCACGGAAGCCCTGCCGCAGGCCGGACCCGTCCAGCTGGCAGCCCTGGGGCTGTTGCCCAGCCTGCATGACCCGTTTGCCGAGGTGGAAGCCAAGCTGGCCAGGCTCTCCTCCGCAGTGGCCGGGGCCGAGGCGCTCCAGGCCGGCGCACCCAGGCTCTGCACACAGGTATCCGGTGCCATGCCAAGAGTCAGTAGGCGGAACTCGGCTGGGGGCACTCAGGCCACTGGGTGCGCACCCAGGTCTCACCGTCTGGGCGGGGGGCTCTGGCTTGGTGGCCAGAGAAGCCCTGTCTTGTGCTCCGTCGGGAGGGAAGGGGGGATGGAGATAGGAGGCTTTGCCCAGTGGGCCCCTGTTCTGCTAATGGAGGGACGCCCGCTTGGGGGGTTGGCTGAGTTGCCATGGTTACACCCAGCTTCCAGGCCCGAAGGAAGGAGCCGGAGGGGGCTGAGGGCTGCGGGAAGGCTGCTACTTTTCAGGGGCTCCCCCCTCCCCGACCCCAGGATCCTGCCACTTTGCTGGATGCCTTCTCTCCTTTCCACTCTCTTGTATGGTTTAAATTCTCTTCCCCCCTCTCCCTCTTATTCTTTTTCCTTTGCTTTGCTTTCCTGTCCTTTCCTGTGTGTGTGTGAAGAGCCTTGGAGCTGGACAGACCCGGGTTAAATCCCAGCTCGACCACTCACATAGTTGTGTGACCTCGGGCAGTCACCTTTCTGGGCCTCGGTCTCCTCTTCTCTAAAATGGGGGTGCCGACGCTGCGTGCTTCACCTGAGGTAATGTAGGTGATGCTCCTGGAGCACGCTCCCTCCCCGGTTCTCTCTTCCCTGTTCTCTTCTCTCCTCGCCCCTGCTCCCCACCGGTCCCCTCAGTGGTGACAGGCAGGAGGAGGTGGTGGCTTGGTGAGGCACCGGGCAGGGGCATGGGGCGCTGAAGGGGAGGTCAGGGAGCAGAGGATGATTCTGGCCCACTGTCCCTCTCCCTCCCTCACCCCGTCCTCCTGCAAGCACCCCTCCCTGAAGGATCTGCTGAGGCCTGGTGTCCTTAGGGCTGAAGCTGAGACAGCTGACTGCCTCCTGCCCAGGGCTGTGAGTTCCCCGTCCCCATCCCCCACCACGCCCCCTACCCTCCACCCCCCCCACCCCCCCACCCCCCATCCCCCGGGCCAGACCCTCAGGTTGGGGGAGGAGTCCCAGGAGCCTGGGTCTTCCTGTGACACTCTGGGCCTGGGCATCCTCCCCCCCGAGACAGGGACTATGACCCCAGCCCACCCCCAGCTTATCGGAGCTTGCCCGTCACAGAGCAGTCCTACCTCTTATTATTGATGTGATTAAGAGGCCACTGCTCAGCAATTTTCAGATTTTGCTTGGCCTTGGGAGCCGGTCTAAAGCAAGGAGGCCCAGTGTGTGCTGAGGGCAAGGGCTGCAGGGCAGGGGCGGGGGTCCCCGAGGCGCTGGCAGGGAAGCGCCTGGGCCCCGTGTTGAATACCCCTACTCTCAAGAGCTCCCCCTTCTCCCTTCTGCTTAAGAAAGTACAAGAGGCTACGGGGAATGAGAGGAAGGCTTTAAATCTACCCACATGTGTGGAGAGAGAAAACTGCCTCCTAGCCTCTGGACAGGATCCCTGGGTAGGAGCTGACACACTTGAGGTTCTCAGTAGATGGGAGATGGGATGGCCAGGGGCACCCTGGCTGTAAGGTGACATTGAGAGAGGACCCAAGTGGGAAGAAGGGGCCTGGGCAGAGCATCAGGCTGGGGGATGGCATGTGCCAAAGTCCTGTGGCTGCGAAGGTCTTGACTTTCTCAGCAGTGGAATAATGAGGCCAGAGAAGCAGCAGGGTGGATGGGGTGGGGGGAGAGGGGAGGCACGGAGAGGCACGGAGGGCCCAAAGACCATGGAAGAAGCTGGATTTTCCTGCAAATGCACTGGGAATCTGTGCAGGGTTCTCATCTGCAAAGGGCCGTGATGGATTTGTATTTGGAGAAAACTGCCCTAGCTGCCATGGGGAGCCTGGGCCCCGAGGGGCAGGAGAGCAGGATGGAAACTGTTTTGGGGTGTTGGAGGAAATGGTGGAAGTAGGAACCCAGTCAGGTACATGTTTGTATAACTGGGTGCCTCCGAGCCAGAAGTGATCCGTCCGGGGCCATGAGGGACCCAGCCTCCACCATCTGGGACTGAGGCCGCCGGGAGCCTGTGTCCAGGGCCGGCCTCTCTGCCTCCACCTTGGTTTCTCTTTGTGCTCAGGAGGTTGACGAGGGCCCAGAAGTGGCCGAGGAGTTGGTGTTGGCAGCAGAGCCTGGCGTAGGGGCCGAGGCTGAGGCCCAGGTGGCCTTGGAGGCTCAGCCTCAGCCCTTGCTGGCCACGACCAGTGTGAGAAGGGACAGTGTGGGCATGGAGATGGCCGTGCTGACCGACGACCTGCTGCCTGTCGTGGACCAGCAGCAGGTGCTTGCCCGGTAAGTGCTGGGGCGTGGGGCTGGTGGGACCCCGTGGCAGGGCAGGAAGGGACTATGCCCCAGGCATGGGGACGAGAGTGCCCGTAGAGTCTTCACTGAGCCTCCACTCTGCCCCCGCCCCCCCCCCCCCCCCACCTGACGAGGCTGAGGAGGCCTGATCCTCTCTCTAGGAGCAAGGGGCGGGGATGGTGCCATCAGCCGGGGGGGCAGTGCTCTGCTTGGGGAACTCTACAGGGGCCACCAGACTCGCTCAGGCACCTGCTGGGGAGCAGCTGCTCCAGGAGAAAGGGGAGGGACTGTTGCCTGCCTGGCATTTGCAGGAATCCCAGGGTGTAATGATGCAGGTTTTCCTCGGCTCCCAGCGAGCCTCCGGTGCCCTCCTGATGTGAGACCTGCTCACCCTAGGGGCAAGCCACCCTGATCACCCTCAGAGGCTGTCTGCCAGGGGCACTCTGTGCCAGCCACTTAACATTTCTGAGTGTTGGGTCTCACTTCTGGAAATCAGAATAACGTCAGGCTCACCTCCGTGACAGTCAGCCCCACGGCCAGCGGGTCAGCTTCCTCCTAGTGGTGGCAAACTCAGTCCCACCGTCCCCGGTGCAAACGTGAACTGAGCAGGGGCTGCGTGCTGGGAACCAGGAAGCAAGGGTGAATGAGCTGCCACCTTGGCCTTCAGGGGGCCCATGGTCCAGGGGGAGGCAGCTACCCAGGCCCACAGAGGGCCTGCCTCTGCAGTGTGAGAAGCCAGTGGGTTGTGCAGTCGACTGTCTGCGCTCCCATCGCCTCCACCACTACCTACCTCTACGACCTGGGCCAACTTTTAAACCTCCCTGTGCCTCAGCTTCTCATCTACAAAATGGGTGATAATAAGAGCTCCAGTTTGAGAAGCTCATCGTGAGGGTCAAATGAGACCACACCTGCCGAGCATCAGGCCCCGAGAGAACTCTCTGCGCACGTGGCCGTGTTCAGGGTGTGGTCTGGAGTATGGTCAGGGAGGGCTTCACAGAAGCCCTCATTTTCCGTTTCTTCGAGTAGCTTTGCTTAGCTCCAGCTGCATGAGGTTTGCAGGCCAGATGCCTCAGGGTGGCATCCAGATACAGGGTGGCACAGAAGTGCAGCGGGGGGAACAGCCTGGCTGTTTGGAGAGCGCGCAGCTGGGAAAGCTGGAGCGAGCTGGGTGGGGGCTGCAGAGGGAGGTGATGAAGCACCAGGCCCCCGTGCACCGAATATTGCTCGCAGCCCAGGGTGCTCTGCTCGCGCGGGGTGCCGGGGAGCACGGCCGCCAGCCTGCTGCGCCGTGGGGCCCACGGGCTCCCGGAGGCCCATGGTGGGTGGCGCGTGGGTCAGCTCTGGTCCGCGGGGAGACGCTCGCCCGTCCTGTCGTGCGGCTGTGCGCACAGGCCTGGGTGGATCTGCTCGGACCCCGGCCAGAGGCCTCGCTCTCTGAGCCCCTGCCGTGTCTGGGAGGGGGTTGCAAGGCCCCCACGACGTCCTGCTGGACAGCAGGCGCGCGGTGATGGCCCCGCGCCGTCGCGAGCACCTTCCTCTCCTGCCGGCAGTTTGCAGCTATTGGAGCAGCAGGTGGTGGGGGGGGAGCAGGCCACGAACAAGGACCTGAAGGAGAAGCACAAGCGGCGGAAGCGGTACGCGGACGAGCGCAAGCGGCAGCTGGTGGCGGCCCTGCAGAACTCGGACGAGGACGGCGGCGACCGGGTGCTGCTCAACGTCTACGACTCCATCCAGGAGGAGGTGCGGGCCAAGAGCAAGCTGCTGGAGAGGATGCAGAGGAAGGTGAGGCCCCCACGCCCAGGTGGCCCCCGGTCAGCGTTGGTAAGTCCGGGCCGGCTGTGTGCCTCGCCCGCCCTGGAGGCAGTCCCAGTGACGCGTGGCTGCGGGGCTGGGGGAGGGTGTGCGACAAATGGGACAACAGAGGACCAAGCGGGACAGCGCTGGACGGTGACAGTGCTGTGAAGGGGATTCTAGGGGAGGGTGGTGATGTAGGAAAGACGTTAGAGTTCAAAGGCCACGGCCAAGAAAGGATTCTGAGACGTCTTTGGTGCAAAAAGTGGTTTTATGAAAGCACGGGGACAGGACCTGTGGGCAGAAGGAGCTGCACCAGGGTCCCGAGGAGTGGTCCATTATACACTTTCAAGTTGGGAGGGGGTCAGTGATAGTGTAAGTCTCTAAGGAATTCTGGAAGCAAGGTTTCCAGGACCTTGAAGGGGCTAGCTATTGTTGGGGAAAGGTCATTTATTACCGTCTAATAAAACCTGAGTCGTGAGGCCCTTCAGGTGTATATCAGTGGGCCGTATGCTTGGGGGGTGATTGCCAACACGTACCTTGCGGGGTAGAGAAAAAGGAAGTTTCCAAGAGAAGTTTTATATGTTAAAGTAGGCTTACAGGATGGGGTGGGGGTGAGGGGTCGGGCCAGGATCGCCTTTTGCTCTTACTTAGCAAAGTGTCAACATCAAGGCAGTCGAGTCCCTAGAGGAATGTCACTCTGCCTGTTCCAAGGACTTGTCAATGGGCTGTAGGCAGTAAGGAGATTTAATAATTTTTCTTCTGCCTTTGTTTCCCACACCAGGTGGCTTTATTTTTAGTTTTTCATTTGGATTGTGTACACACGTGCAAATGACAGGTGCACGACTTAACTCATTTCCACAAAGTGAACGCACCCATGAAACCAGCACTCACATTGGGGAACTGAGCATCAGTGGAACCCTAGAAGCTCTCGGGGCCACCCTGGGTGGGGGGGCAGGGAAGTTCTCCTGGAGGTGGTGACTTCCGAGGTGGGACCTGAACCTTAGGAAAGGCGGCCAAAGGAAGAGCCTTCCAGGCCGAGGGAGGGGCCAGTGCCGAGTATGAGGTTAGTGGCTCTAGGAGCAGAAGGGAGGCAGATGTGACTGAGCGCAGGGAGTGAGGAGGACAAGGCAGGGGGAGCTGCTGTCTGCTTCCCTCCGTGCACCCTCAGGGGCTCTGGGCCCTGACGCATCCCCCTCAGCCGACCGCAGGGCGCCCCTCGTCCCCATCCGACACCACCAACCCAAGGATCTCGCCAAAGCAGAAGCTGATGCTTTTCCCTCTTTGAACCTCTGTGGTGTTTACATTTTCTTGGCTATTTTCATGCTTTTTCTTAATACCTTTTTTATGTTTTCAGCTGAATTTGTTCTTCCTGGGATATCTTGTAATTTGGTCTACGCACCTAAGTTTTGAAAAATTCTTTCTGGAGTTCAGTTAGATGTCCCATTTTACACCTTCTTCGTTTCTGTCCATTTCCACCTTAAGATTTTTGGATTACTGATTTGAAATGTTCATATGTGTGAATTGAAGGAAATTTTATTCACATTGGGATGTTGGGTTACATTTTGGTTCTGTGTGCTCGTGCTTTGTGGGGGAATTTTCTTCCACTGAAATGCTTTGATTTTCATTTTCTGTTTCTTAGAGCAGCTTTGATTAGCGCTACTTCTGCTCTTTTCTGTGTATTTTGCAGTGTCTTGTTTTTCTGCACTTTCAAGACCAGCTGAAAGTAGAGGTGAGGTTTTGGGCGGCTGGCTGGGTTTGCTCAGTCGACAGCATGCTCTTCTGTTCCTATAGTGAAGTGCAGCGTTAAATAGACGGTTCCCTATTGCTGTGGTAATTAGTCTCTCACCGCAAATAGAGTTGCCTAAAATAACACAAATTTATCATCTCACAGTTCTCTGGGTCAGGGTCCAGCTCCAACATGACTGGAATCCTCTGCTTAGAATTCCATAAGGCTGAAACCAAGGTGTTGGCAAGGTTGCGTTTCCTTCAGAGGCTCTAGGGAAGAATCCGTTTCTCAGGTTGTTGACAGGATTCGGTCCTATGTGGTTATAGGACTGAGGTTCCGAGGTCCTTGCTGGCTGTCTGCTGGGGGTCATTCTGTTTCTAGAGGCAGCAGGCCCCTGGCCACCCCTCAGAGACCACCGGGGCCAGCTCCTCCCCGGCTTCAGCTCTCTGACTCTACTCCTATCTCCTTCATCTGAAGCATCTCTTTTAACGCCTGTCCACTGCCTAGCTCTCTGCGCCCCTTCCATAAGGCCCACGTGGTTACACTGGGCTCACCGGATGATCCAGGATAATCGCCCTGTTTTAAAGTCAACAGATTAATAACTTTAATTCCATTTGCAAAGTCTTTTTTGCTGTGTAAGAGAAACATAGTCACTGGCACGTACCAAGGGGTGGAAATCATAGGGGTTGATCATAGGGGTTGTCTTCCAAATTTTGCTCTCACTTTTGGGTCCCCTCTCTCTCTCTCTCTCTTTATCTCTCTCTTGGTAGGAGGGGTCAGTGTGTCTTTTGTGATTTTCTCGTTTCTACAGGACTTTCATTTTGCACCTCAAGGAGTCTCCCACTTCTAAACACCCTCCAGAAGCAATGCCTTGCAGAGACTAACCCCTCAGTCTCTCCAGAGACTTGCAGACCCAGTCTCTGTATTTTTGCCATACAAAAGAATTTTTTAAAGTTTTATTTTGTCAAATTATCAACTTTCTATTATTGCGTGTAGATTCTGAGTCACAGTTGGCAAAGTTCATTTATGTTTCCTTCTAGAACTTGTATAGTTTCTTTCTTTCTTTTTCTTTCTATTATTATTTATTTTTATTATTTTTTTTTAGAGAGCGAGTGAGCAGGGGGAGGAGTAGAGGGAGAGAGAGAATCTCGAGTAGACTCCCTGCTGAGCGAGGAGCCCGAGGCGGAACTCAATCTCATGACCATGAGATCATGCCCTGAACTGAAATTAAGAGTCGAGCCACCCAGGCGACTCATCTTCCTTTCTTTTTTATATTTAAATCAGATCCACTTGGAATTTATCTGGGTGCATGTGTGAAGAGCTGATTCCATTTTATTCGTTCCGCATGGCTCTCCTTGTTTCCTAGCACCAGTTTTCGAAAGGTCCATTTATCCTCCACTAACTTCAGCTGCTGTCTTTATGGTATGCTAAAGTCCTATAAGCACTTAGATGTATCTCTGATTTTTCTATTCATCTCTCTTGCTGTATCTATTCATGTACCAGTGCCACCCACTTTATTTGAAATCTAGGGACTTTATAATATGTTTTATAATTTCATAGGGTTAATCCTCTGTCAATGGTTTTCTATTCCAGGTTTTTCCTGGATATTCCTTCTTGTTTTTTTTGTTTTTTTGTTTTCCCAAAATGAGCTATATAAACAACTGGGCGGGCACCTGGGTGGCTCAGTTGGTTAAGCGACTGCCTTCGGCTCAGGTCATGATCCTGGAGTCCCGGGATCGAGTCCTACATCGGGCTCCCTGCTCAGTGGGGGGTCTGCTTCTCCCTCTGACTCTCTTCCCTCTCTTGCTATCTGTCTCTCATTCTCTCTCTCAAATAAATGGATAAAATCTTTAAAAAAAAAAAATAAACAACTGGGCTAGTGCAAAAGTAAAAAAGGGAGAGAAGTAAAGAAAAAAATTGGTGGAATTTTTGGGGGAATCATGTTATATCTGTACATTAGCTTGAGGGTATTGATACCCTCATGAGGTTGTATTTTTCTGTCCAGGAACATGGTATATCTTCTGTTAGTTCAGATCAATTTTTGTGTCACTCAAGAGTATTTTATAAATTTCCTCATATAGGTTTTGAACATATCTTGTTAATTTCACATTTAGGTATTTTATTTTATTTGCTTTCCTCTGTGGGATATCCTGTTCCATTATGTCTTCTCACTGGATTTTATTTGTAAAATGAGGACTATTGGCTTTAAGAAATATTTTTTAAAAATAATTGTGAAATAGAAGGGAACACTTATTAACTTACTCTATGGGGCCAATGTCACCTGATACCAAAACCATAGAAAAACATAAGAAGAAAACTATAGACTAATATTTCTTACGCATATAGACACAAAATGCTCCACAAGATACTAGCAAACCAAATTATACATCATGCCAAAGTGGGATTTATCCTAGGAATGCAAGGTTGGTTTAGTATCCCCAAATCAATTAATGCAATATACCATATCAATAGAATAAAGGACAAAACCCACATGGTCATCTTAATGATGCAGAAAAGGTATTTGAAAAAATTTAACACCTATTATGATACAAACACTCAGGAAACTAGGAGAGAAGGGAACTTCTTCATTCCGATAAAAGGCATCTATGAAATGTCCACAGGTAACATCATACTTAATGGTGAAAGATTGAATGCTTTCCCCATAAGATTAGGAACAACACAAGGATGTCTGCTCCCACCACTTCTATTCAACATTGGGCTGGAGGTTCTAGCTAGGGCAGTTAGGCAAGAAAGTGAAATAAAAGGTACTGAGATTGGAAAGGAATAGATAAAACTATTTCTATTTACAGATGACATGATCTTTTATGTAGAAAGTCCTAAGGAATCCACGAAAAAAAAAACCCTAACTAGAATCAATTAACAACTTCAGCAAGGTTGCAGGATACAAGATCAATAAGCAAAAAGCAATTGTATTTCTACATACAATAAACAATCCACAAATAAAATTAAGAAAACAATTCCACGGGGCACCTGGCTGGCTCAGTCTGTAGAGCATGTAACTTTTGATCTCAGAGTCATGAATTCAAGCTCCACATTGGGCATGGAGGCTCCTTAAATAAAAATGTATAATATCCATAAACATTAAAAAAAAAGAAAATTCCATTTTCATTACATCAAAAAAGAATAAAATACTTAGGAATAAATTTGACAAAAGAAGTGTAAAGCTTATATTCCAAAAACTATAAAACATTGTTGAAAGAAATTAAAAATACCTAAATAAATGGAAAGACACCCCATGTTCATGGATTGGAAGCCTTAATACTGGATAAGATGATACTCTTCAAACTGATCTACAGATTCAAGGCAATCACTATCAGAGTCCCAACTGACTTCTTTGCAGCAATTGACAAGCTGACCCTAAAGTTCATATGGAAATTCAAGGGACAGAATGGCCAAAACAATCTTGAAAAGAACAAAGTTGGAGGACTCACACTTCTGATTTCAGAACTTACTACAAAATCACAGCAATCTAGACTGTGTGGTACTGGTATCAAGACAGGCATGTAGATCAATGGAATGGGATTGAGAGTCCATAAATAAACCTTGGTGTTTATAGTCCGTTGATTTTCAACAAGGGTGCCAAGGTTATCCAGTGGAGAAAGGACAGTCTTTTCAACAAATGGTGTTGGGACAACTAGATGCCCACATGACAAAGAACGGTGTTGAACCCCAACCTCACACCATATACACAAATTAATTCAAAACAGATAAAAAAACTAAATGTAAGAACTAAAACTATAAAACTCAAAGGTGTAAATCTTTGTTACCTTAAATTAGACACTGCTGGGGCACCTGGGTAGCTCAGTCAGTTAAGCAGCTGCCTTTGGCTCAGGTCATGATCCCAGGGTCCTGGGATCGAGCCCCAGGTCAGACTCCCTGCTCAGTGGGGAGTCTGCTTTTCCCTCTCCCTCTGTGCTCTCTCTCTCTCTCTCACTCTCTGTCCCTCACTGTCTCTCAAGTAAATAGATAAAATCTTAAAAAAAAAATTAGACATTGCTTTCTTAGGTATGATACCAAAAGCACAAACAAAGGAAAAAAATAGATACATTGGACTTAATCAAAATTAAAGCTTTTGTGCTTCAAAGGATACTATCAGGAAAGAGAAAATACAGCCCATAGATTGAGAGAAAATATTTGCAAATCCTATATCACAATGAGGTGCTTATATCCAGAATATATAAAGAACACTTACAACTCAAGAATAAAAAGACAAATAATCCAATTTAAAAATGGGCAAAGGACCTGAACAGACATTTCTCCAAAGAAGATAAACAGATGGCAGTAAGAACAAGAAACGGTACTGAACATCATCAGCCACCAGGGAAATGCAAATCTACAATGCAAAACTACCATCTATGGTATAGAGATATCATCTCACACCCACGGGGGTGGCTGTAATAAAACAGATAATAACAAATGTTGGCGAGGATGTGGAGAAATGAGTGCCCTCATACATTGCCGGTGGGAATGTAAAATGGTGCAGCTTCATGGCTTGGAAGACTTAATATTGGATAAGATGATACTCTTATGGAAAATAGTCTGGCAGTTCCTCAGTTGGTTAAACATAGTGTTACCCTGCAGCTTCATGGCTTGGAAGACTTAATATTGGATAAGATGATACTCTTATGGAAAATAGTCTGGCAGTCCCTCAGTTGGTTAAACATAGTGTTACCCCATGACCAGCAGTTACAAGCAAGAGAAATGAAAATAGGGCCACATAAAAACTTGTACACTAATGTTCATAGCAGCATTATTCATTATAGCCCCAAAGTGGAAACAATCATGAATGGAAAATAAAATGTAGTATATCCAAATGGTGGAATATTATTTGGCAGTAAAAAGGAATGAAATCCTGGGGCTCCTGGGTGGCTCTGTCATTTAAGCATCCGACTCTTGGCTTCGGCTCAGGTCATGATCTCAGGGTCATGAGATCGAGCCCCGTATCGGGCTCCATGCTCAGCGTGGAGTCTGCTTGAGATTCTCTCCCTCTCCCTCTGCCCCTCCCACTCTGTCTCTCTCAAATAAATAAATCTTTTTTTTTTTTTCTTTAAAAAGGAAGTCCTGACACATGCTCCGACATGGATGAATCTTGAAAACACTGTGTTGAGTGCAAGAAGCCACACACAAAAGATCATATATCGTATGATTACGTTGATATGAAATCTCTGGAATAAGCAAATCTAGAGAGACAGAAAGTGGATTGGTGGTTGCCTGGAGCTGGGGGTTGGGGAGAAGCGGAGGATGAGTACCTGTGGGGGTGGGGTTTATTTCTGGATCGTGAGATGTTCTAAAACTGACCGTGCTGATAACTGCACTAGTCGGAGTATACTAAAAACCATTGAATTGTACGTGTTAAATGGGTGAATTGTATGACATGGGAATTATATCTCAATAAATTTGTTACAGAAGTCACTGTGAAAGATTCCAGATCCTTCCAGATGTACAAAAATATATAAAGCTTCTTACCATTAACGGCATGTATCTACCATCCAGCTTAAGGAATGGAGCATTATTAATTGCCCACCTGTGTCCTACCAGGTAGTGTCTGTTCTCACCTGGTTACAGGTGATGAGCATTCCCATGAACTTCAAACATCCTTCTTTACTAATCAAACTGTACCTGCTCTTTGAGAAAACAGACTATGCACCCAGGAGTCTTGGGGCTCAGGGAGAGCATGGTTACGGTTGCAGCTGGGAGTCACCTGTGTTTGTGGGGAATCTCCATTCAGGCAGACCCGGGCAGGAGATCACAAAAGTGTGGAATCCAAGGTCAAATCAGGGTGGGTCGCCTCTTAAGTCCGGTGTCTGTCACATTTTAACTTGACCGTGGCTAATGGGAGAGCGAGGGCTGCTGAGGCTGAGAGTTTATGCCTCTGCTCCCCTCAGGAATAGGATTTATACAATTTCCTGACATCTTTTAGGACGTGGTGACCCCAGTGTTATGTGTGGAGCCTTCCCAGAGGCTCCTGGATAAAATGTGTTTGTGTGGGATTGTCCCAGGGGACCGGCACAGGGGGCTGATGAGCGGGTTCTTTTCCTGTTTTCTGCAGGGCTGTGGACACAGTAGGTGCTCATTTAGTGCCGGCGGACAGACGGGAGGCAGGCGCGGGTGGATGGGCGGGTCAGCACCCAGATGGCGAGTGGGAGGCTGGAGGTGCAGACAGTGGGTGCGGAGGGCGGACGGATGGCCACGTGGCTCGGTGTCTTCCCTGCTCACTGCACGTCGCTCCCTGACCCCTTGCTTTCAGCTGCGGGCAGCAGAGGTGGAGATCAAAGACCTGCAGTCGGAGTTCCAGCTGGAGAAGATCGATTACTTAGCCACCATCCGCCGGCAGGAGCGGGACTCCATGCTCTTCCAGCAACTCCTGGAGCAGGTGCAGCCCCTCATCCGCCGGGACTGTAACTACAGCAACCTGGAGAAGATAAGGCGCGAGTCCTGCTGGGACGAGGACAATGGCTTCTGGAAGATCCCCGAGCCCATCATCATAAAAACCAGCCTCCCAGTAGGTCAGGCGCTTGGCTGTCCCCTCAGCCCTCGTCCAGGCAGCTTGCCCTCCTGCGGGCTGACCTGGAGCCGGGGCCCAGGCCTTGCTGGCTGTGGGTGCAGCAGTCAGGGGACCTGGGGGACTCCAAGACGGTGGGGAGCTGAGAGAGAAGTGGTGTGTTCTGGAGTCACACAGATGTGGGTTGGAATTCTGGCTCCACCGCTCCCCGTGTGGCCTCTTTGCGACTCAGTGTCCTCATCTGTGAAATGGGGATCAGTAACCGCACCTTCCGTAAAGATCGCTGGGTGGCTTAGCCTGTGTTCATGTGTATGAAACCCTTAGCGCCCTGCCTGGCATATGGCAAGTGAGTGCTCCGTCTGATCACTGTCATGACCACCACTCATCACCTCCCCCAACAAGCCTGGGCAGGGCAAAGATGATTACACCTGTTTTACATCTGAGGAGATGGAACCTCAGAGAGAGAAGTGACTGAACCAGAGTCCCAGTCGGAGCAGTGAGTCCTAGGACCAGGGATAGAAACTGGGTCACCTTCTGCTTTTGTTGCTGATTTCTGTGTGACCCTGTGAAGGTCACTGTTTCTCTCTGGGCCTTGGTCTGGGATCTTCACAAAGAAGGGGTTAGGGAAGGTGCCCTTGAAGGCCCCTCCACCTCCACCCGTCTCAGTAAGGTCTGTCTCCGGCCTCACAGCTGGGAGCGCCCCCCGTCAGAGAATGTTCGTGCAGGTCCTGCATCTCTGAGTTTACAGATGGCCACTGACCCCCCCCTGCAGGGAGGCCAGCCAGCTCCATTTCCCAAATGCAGGCATCCATCAGTTTCTCCTGCCCCCACCGACCTGCTCTGTTGAGGAAGCAGGGGAATAGCTGCTTTGGCATCTGAGCCCTCCTGGTCTCTGTTTCCCAAAGTCATCCCATGGCCTGGGCTGGGCAGTGTGCTCCCTGGCTCCAGGCCCGCGAGCTCGGGGGAGTGCTGCCACCCGCCCTGGCTCTCTGGCCCGTGGACTAGGGAGGGACCCGGCAGGGACTAGGAACCAGGCAGCGGTGACTTCAGCTTGTGTTTCTCGTAGCAGTTCCAACAGGGCCACAGAACAAAGTAGTCCGCAAAACCTCTGCAGCTGACAACGGTGAACCAGGCACGGTAAGGCCTATGGGAGAGGGGGTGAGGTGCGGGGAGCTGGCGGGGTGGGGGGGTGGCTTGCGGGTCAGCCTCACTATAGGGCACTGGGCTTCTACTTTCATCCCACCTGAGGGTCAAAGCAGGAGGCTGAGCCTGGATCTTTTCTGTGTCACCCTGTTGGACCCTCCCCCTGCTCTGGTCTTCATTCAAAGGCACTTACGGTCCTAGAGACCAGAGGGAAAGTAGGTGGTACGGGGTAGCTTGTCCTGCTGGTGAAGGACAGGAGCGCTTCGTCTTCAATCCCAGAGGCAGGCCGTATGTTCTGGTTCCCTGGGCTATTGCTGGTATCCTCGGACCAAGTTGCCCGCGAGGATCCACAAAATAGTAATTGGGCTTCTGAAGTCACTTTGTTCTCCCATCTCCCATGTTTTGTATTACAATAGAAATAGACCTCCTCCAAGCGGAGGTCAGGAAACCTTCCTGTAAAACACCACATCTTTCCGCGTGCTTCTTCACCTCTCGGTTCTGCTTCCCTTGCAATGCTAGCTTCAGGCTCAGGCAGGCTTTCTCGGCGCGGCGGGAAAGATGCTGCCAGCAGCTGGTGACCCAAGAGGAAGAGACCAGTTCTCTTACCACATCTTTTTTTTTTTTAAGATTTTATTTATTTATTTGAAAGAGAGAGAATGAGAGAGAGCACATGAGAGGGGGGAGGGTCAGAGGGAGAAGCAGACTCCCTGCCGAGCAGGGAGCCTGATGCGGGACTCGATCCCGGGACTCCAGGATCATGACCTGAGCTGAAGGCAGTCGCTTAAACAACTGAGCCACCCAGGCGCCCTCTCTTACCACATCTTGTGGAAAGATTCTGATCAGCTCTGCCTGGGCCAGGGGCCTGCTCCTGGACCAGTGACTGTGTCCGGAAGATGTATTTCTCTGGCTGGTTCGGGCTGGGTCACATGCCCAGTTGTGCAGCCAGGGGGTGGGCGAGAGGGAGTGGTGGTGTTAGGGCACTGTGAATGATCGCCTCACCAGGACCATGTCAAGGGGGAGAAGGGTAGTCCCTGAAGGGAGATTCAGGCTGAGGCAAACAAGTCCATTAGAGTGGTGAAAAATCACAGTCTTTGGTGATAAGAGATGGGCGCTCCAGTTCTAATGACTTTGATTATGCCCGTGGGCTGAGTCCTGTATTATCTATTCTATGAATATGTCGTGATGGATTTGGGCTATGTGGTACTGGAGAACAAGGCACTTCCCACCCCAGGGAAGGCGGGTGGCGTAGGCTTGGCCGGAGCTGTGACTCTCCTGCCCTGAGCTGCCTGGATCCCACCCCAGGAGTCTGGGGTCTCTAGCAGGGTCCACAGGGTGGGCCGGGAGGCTCAGGGCGGCCCCCACCCCACCAGGCTTGTGGGTCTTGTACAAACGAGGGGTCTTGACCCACGGGGATCTGAATCTCAGCAGGAAGAAGACCGCTACAAGCTGATGCTCAGTCGGAGCGACAGTGAAAACATTGCCAGTAACTACTTCCGGTCCAAGCGAGCCAGCCAGATCCTCAGCACGGATCCCATGAAGAGCCTCAGTGAGTGCACTGCCCACCTCCTGTCCTCCAGCCCCTCCCCGGGAGAGCCCTCCCCGGCCCTCTGCCAACCATGGGAGAGGTGTGATGGGTGAATTGGAGTCAGGCCGGGGTTAAAAACCCCTTCCTGTCCCTGAGCCTCCGTTCCCTCCGCTGTACACTGAGGGGTATGACTACCCCCAGGGTTAGGTGAGATGAGGTGGGGGAGCGGCCCAGCCCAGCGCCTGGCACATGGTAGGCGCTCTGTGCCCAGACTCCCTCTTCCTGTCCCCCTTCCTCCTCTGGCACAGAGCTGCAGCGTTTGGTTCCTCTCCCCTGACACACAGTAGGCCTGCGCCACACAGCTGGGTGTCCCGCCGTGTGCTGCCCGGGTCTGGCTCAGTTGCTCCCCAGCTTCCGCAGATGCCAGTGGGGTGGCTTTCCTCCACGGAGCCCAACGGGGCAGACAGGGCCATAGAAGCGGGACACTTTTAAAAGCAAGAATTGAAAATCACTTTGTTCTTCCATTTCTTTTTTTACTTTTTAAGATTTTATTTATTTGAGAGAGAGCATGAGAGCACAGGGGGAGGGGCAGGGGGGAGTCTTAGGCAGACTCCCCATTGAGTGTGGAGCCCGACCTGGGGCTCGATCTCACAACCCTGAGATCATGACCTGAGCCAAAACCAAGTTAAGTGTCGGACGCTTAACTGACTGAGCCACCCAGGCGCCCCTCGTTCTTCCATTTCTAAAAGCAAAACCAAAGGCCACAGAGCTTCTAATAAAATATCCACGAAAAGCAAATCTCAGTTCTATACGTTGAGACTATTGAGGAGACAGAGTTCAGTAGAGTTGAGGATCAGGAGGGAAAAAGAGCACAGAAACAAATGAACATCAGTTGAGGACCTGGCACTGTGCCCATGTTGCAGATGAGGAAACTGAGCCCCCCCCCCCCCGAGGTCACACTCGCACGAAGCTGGGCCCTGAGTGCAGGCCTGTCTGGCTCACTCGTGGGTCAAGACCCCTTGCTTGTACAACTCTCACCTCTGCAAGCCTGGTGGGGTGGGGGCCGCCCTGAGCCTCCCGGCCCACTCTGTGGACCCTACTAGAGCCTGTAGAACTCCAAGTTCCTGGCCCAGACCCTCTGGGGGCCCAGCCGTGGGACCAGACCTCCAGCTGGGTGGGGTGGGGCGGGCTCCCCATCCCTGCACCCCCCTGGCTCACTGGCTCCTCTGCCCCCTTCTTCACAGCGCATCACAGCTCGCCCCCCGGCCTCAGCTCCCCACTCAGCAACACCTCTGCCATCTCGCCTACCCAGGCCCCCGAAATGCCCCAGCCCCGGCCCTTCCGCCTCGAGTCCCTTGACGTCCCCTTCACCAAGGCCAAGCGAAAGAAAAGCAAAAGCAGCTTTGGCAGTGAGCCTCTGTGAACGCGGCCTCCTGCGGCTGTCCTGCCCCAGGGTTTCCGTGAGACTGCCAGCCCCCACCCCCCAGGGCAGCCCCAGCCAGTCCTCCTCACCCCTGCCCCCACGGTGCCCGGATGCCCGAGGGGGTCCTTGCCCTGGGAAGAGCCTTGCCCTTCCCTGTTACCCGACCTTGCAGAGGTGCGCTCCGGCTCTCCATGCCACGCCAGTATTACATCTGCTCCCCTGCCACAGCCCGCCATGCCCACCCGGGTTATTCTGTGCCTCAGTGGGCCCAGAAACCTCAAGGCACTCACCAGCAGCCCCGACAGAGTGGGCAGCAGCTTCCGTGTGGATCAAGGACAGCATCTTGGTGATGGACAATCGTGTCTCTGTCCACCAGGGCCCCCTTCCTGGGGAAAGCTGGACGATGTGGGCGCGGGAGTCCTGGGGCAACTGTTCCACGCTGCCCACTCCCAGCTGGTCTGTGGCCTCGAGGAGGCTGCCCCACATGAAGCTGCCCCAATAAACTGCCTTTTACCGATGAGCTCCCTTCCCCAGTCCTCTGACCGTGTCACTGGGGCCCCTCCTGCCACTGCTGCGTGGCCTTCACGGGGAAGCGCTTTGGGAGCAGCGTTTCTTAACTACCCGATGCCTTGAAAACAGGCCGCAGGGTTTCTGCAACTCCCCACACTGGTGAGTGCAAGTGCATTTTTCTGGGGAGAGCACCTGAGCTGTCATTAGCTTCTCAAAAGATCTGTGAGTCAGAAAAGCAGAGCCCTTGTTTTGGAAAATAGAGATTGTGTCTTGCTGAGACCCAGAAAAAGGCCAGGTTCGGACAGTCCTCAGGGGCTGTGCTGGAACTGGATGCCCTGACGTGGCCAGAAACGAACGAAAGCTGTCTGGGCTACTGAGGATACACCCCTCCCCCTGCCCTTCGTATCCCAGGCCTCACCATCAGAGGGAAGAGTCTCGGCCTTTGGTTGAAGAGGAGACTCATTTCACTCTGGGCCCCATCTGTGAAAGGGGAACAGCTGCTCCCTAGAGCTATTGTGAAGTTTCTATGAGAGTAAGTGATGTTCCCAGTACACAGCAGGTGCCTTGCGTTAGTCCCCCTTGTTCCTTCTCCTCCGTATTTTGCATTAATTTACCGTGGTGGATCCCATAGGCCACTTGCCTGGACCAAGCTCATGCCCTGGAGATCAGTCTAACTTCAGGCAGGCTGCAGTACCCATGTTGAGAGGAAGAACAGGTCTTTATGGGGAACAGAGTGCCCTTGTGAAAGTAGGGGCTATTATAAAGGATGGAGAAGATCCTGGGAGGCTTAAGATGGGAATGGCGGGGGGCATGAGCAAAGGCAGGAGGTGGGGAGTGTGTTAAAGTTTGGAAACTTGCCACAGGGAAGCCCTGAGCAGGGCTGAGAGGAGGATGTGGCTGCTGAGATCAGTTTCAGTGGAAGCCTGAGTGAGGAGTCTTGGGTGTCCCTGAGCTGTGGCAGACTCCTAAGCCACCAAATGGCACCATTGGGTCTGAGTTCCAGGTGGACTGGTGTGGGATCATATGCAGAAGGGCAGGAGCGCTGGACTGGGGAACGAGGTAGGGGTGAGGCTGAACTCGCAGTGGGGCCAGTGGAGATGGAGAGGAGGTAGAATCAGTTAAGGAGATGGATGGAGGGAGGTTTTGACTTTTGCCCCCACATTCCTGGCTTCGTGGACAAGTGTGAAAGGTCAGAAAGGAACAGCTACCTACTCTCTCCACAATTACCTATGAGAGTAAGTGATGTTCCCAGTACATAGCAGGTGCCTTGCGTTAGTCCCCCTTGTTCCTTCTCCTCCGTATTTTGCATTAATTCACAATTACCCAGGATTGTGGTTGGGACCCAGGGAGTAACTGAAATCTTGGTGCTGCTTGTGGTAGGTTTTACTCAGACCCATGGGGGGGCTGAGGTGAGCCCCATCAATTTAGAAGGGGTGGGAGCCAGGATTACTGAGGGGACGCTCAGCCTCACTCTGCACCAACTGCTTCAGAACCTGCCCTACAGCTCCCACGAGCCCAGGCTTTTCCAAAGGCACGCAGGTAAGTGGGAGAGCTGGGCTTCGCTGTCGTTTCTATTTCCAGCCTAGGAGTGGGCCCGGAGATGCGTGAAATGCCCTAGCAGCAAGGTTAGTGCGAGGGGGGGGGTGAGACATGAACCCAGCCTGAGAGTTTCAGTCGGTAGGCCGGCTCGCCGCCCCTCCACGCTGGCTCCCACGTGGGCCGCCAGGCCGGGCAGGACAGGCCCGTCCCCAGGCCCCTGGGCCCGTGAGCGGCAGGAGATTCAAAGTGTCCCTCGTCTTAGTTTTCCAACCCTTCCTCCCTGGAGATGGTGGAGGTGGGGCCAGGTTCTTAGTCCCGAGTCTATCCTGGGCCTGGGAGGACCCCGCCAGGCAGCACTGAGGAAGTAGCCCGTGGGGGCCGCTACGGCCCCAGGTCCCGTGAGGGACTTGCCGGACCGATGAAGAGGCGGGATCCAGATCGGGGCGGGAGTCCGGCCTGGGCGGAGCCTACGGGCGCTCGGCCTTGTTGATTGGCTGCGGCTGCGGAGCTGTCTTTCTAGGATTGAGCCTTTTCCTTTGAGGAGGCGGAACCTCTCGCCCCTTCCGCCAATAGGGTTCAGAGACTCCGCCCCCAGCCGGGGCACTTCCGGTGGTGCTCCCCGCTCTTCTCCGTCCCAGCTGCAGCTCCGGCTGTCTGGCCGCGGCGTACCCAGATCGCTTCCGGGTGGTGCTCCAAGACCACGAGCTGCGATTGGGCGGCCTAGACGGGGCACTTCCGGTGCCCAGGTGCCTGGGTTCTTGGCAGGAGGAGGAAGATGGACCCCGGCGCCGCGGCCCGCGTTTGGTCTCTCCTGTGGCTGCTGCTGCGCTTGCTTGGCCCGGCCTCCGCTAGCGGTCCTCGCACCTTAGTGCTGCTGGACAACCTCAACCTGCGGGAGACGCACTCGCTTTTTTTCCGAAGCCTGAAAGGTGATACCGGGGCCCGAGGGGGCGGCGCGGGGAGAGTCGGGTTGGAAAGGCCCCCGAATCCAGGGCAGCGACCACCCTCCCTCCCTCCCTCCCACTGATTTTCCACGAAGGGCCTGCCCGCTCTGGCCTCTCGCTCGGGGGTGGTGGGGCGGTCGTGCTCTCTGCAGCGGTGCTTTTCCTTGGCGTCCCGTCTGTCTCAGCTCCCTGTTTCCTTCTCGTCCAGACAGGGCCTTTGAACTCACATTCAAGACCGCAGATGACCCCAGCCTGTCCCTCATTAAGTACGGGGAGTTCCTCTACGACAATCTCATCATCTTCTCCCCCTCGGTAGAAGGTAAGGGCTGCAGGTCGCTCCCAGAACTGGGATTCAAGGCCCACGATTGATTGATCGCTTTCTTCTGGATCTTGTGCATTTTGTGGGTCATGGCATGGGTCACCAGCCCTGGGCACTGTTGCCAAGGAAGGGAAAATGTTCAGTTCTGACCTGGGCCCAGGAGGGAATGTCTCCTTTCTAAAAGACACATCTGAGGGTTGTGGGGTCAAGTGTTGCACGGACCTGGAAGCGCAGGCCCTGCTACCCTGAGAAGGCGCTTTTCTCTTATAAAGGGCCTGGTAGGAAAGATGGAGAGCGCCCCTGCTTGGGTTAGCGTGTGTGGGTAGAGAAAATGGCATGCTATTAAATAGTTTGCCTACAGAGGCATTGTGATAGTTGATGGTAAGAATTGAGATGGATTCACAGTTTCTCATGGCTAGAACATTAGCCATAATCTAGCCAAGCCCCCTACTGGAGACTGGACGGGTATGTCCAGCAGCCACAGGAGAGAGCTGGTGGTTGAACAAATGAATGTCTTCACTGGCTTATCCAATTGATACTTAAGTATTCCTGTGACAGAGAGCTTACAAGTTGTGCTCAGGTGGATGGGAGCTTCCTGAGAAGGAAGTGAGCTGTGGGTGAGATGGGTTGGGGGGCGGCCGAGCTAGGCTCTTTGGGAATGTCAGAGAACATAAACAGTGTTTCTCAAATCTTAATCATTTCATTCTCAAATCATTTCCGTACCTCCTTCCTGATTTTTTATTGTATTCCATATCACCCATTAATAATTACTTAATGTTTTCTTTAAATTGATCCCTTTAAAAAAAAAACAAACCGTAACAATATTTTAAAAGGAAACCAGTCATGAACCCGGTATCACCACTAAAAATAGAAAGCCAGTATCATCACTTATTTTCAGGAGAAGGTAACTATAAATAGAGTAAACGCTGTAAGTTCTAGCCAGCTTCTCTTGCTAAAGGCTGAGTCCGGGGCTTCCACTTAAAGGAGACTAGCAAACATTAGAGAAGTGTTAAGATCAGTATCAAACTGGGGCGCCTGGGTGGCTCAGTCGTTAAGCGTCTGCCTTCAGCTCAGGTCATGATCTCAGGGTCCTGGGATTGAGCCCCACGTCCAGTTCCCTGCTCCACGGGGAGCCTGCTTCTCCCTCTCCCTTTGCCTCTCTCCCTGCTTGTGCTTTTTCTTGCTATCTCTGTCACTATCTGTCTCTCTATCAAATAAATAAATAAAATCTTAAAAAAAAGATCAGTATCAAACTAAGACATTCTCTTTGATGAGCAGGCTTGAAAAATAATTGGAAAGGGAAGAAGCCTCTCTGAGACTCAGTGTTGTTTAAAGCTCTGCCCCACATCACTGTTGCACCTTTTCTGCACCTAGCACAATAAGTCCCACATGCTGCAGGAAAGCTTCATGGGCGCTCCTGGGGAGAAGGCTTGTCTGTGCTGGGGGGAGTTCATGGTAAGAGTTTGGCCCTGGCTCCGAGGGCCCTTCCGTGGTACTGTGACTACCGTTAGCCCTCTCAGGTATGAGAACCCGGCCTGGCTTCCTTCCCCATGCATCAGTGGGTTCCTCGCTGACTCTGGGATTAGGAAGCTAGCAAGTCACATGCAGTGATGGCCATAGAAGAATGATCTTTAGCACATCCTTTGTACCCGGAAAAAACTAGGTCCTGTTTTATAGATGGGCACATGGGCTCAGAAAGGTGGAGGGGTTTCCTAGATTCAAGCCCAGGTGGCTCTGTCACACAGCCTGGGTTCTTGCCACTGTACAAGGATTTCACAACAGTGGCGCTTCTGGACACTTGGGACTGGATAATTCTTTGTTGTAGGGGGCGGTCTTGTGCGTTGTAAGATGTTTAGCAGCATTCTGAGCCTGTACGCACTAGGTGGCAGTAGCCACCTCCAGACATTGCTCTTAAGGCAGAATTGCCCCTGGTTGGGACCCACACTGTCCACTGTAGTGTAGTACCAGGAGCTGCTTTTGAATCATCAGACTCTGCCTGGCCTGTCCTGTAGGAGGGTGGATAGATGGCTTTCTGAATGTAGTAGAAGAGGTAAAGTCCCTAGGTACAAGATATTCTGTCTGTGCTTAAAGGTAAGGTAAGCTGCTTTTTTTTTTTTCCTGAAAATTACCCCTCAGGAAAGAGGGCCATTCTCATAGTCCTCTCTTTACACAGTCATATTATGGACTCATAATGGATGTGTAATGGACAGACTTCTCTATCCAGTCTCAGTACATGGCACTTCCACCCTTCCCGTTGCTTGAGCCGGAAATCTTGGGGTTGTCCTTAGCGCCCCCCCCATTTCCAGTCTGTCACACGCCCTGCTGACTTCACCTTCAGAATAGGAGTGCAGGCCCATCTCCTGTCTTCCCCTCCTCTCTTCCCTCCCTCCTTTTCCCTCTACTCTTCACTGCCTGGATTATCGCAGTGGCCTCCTAACCCACTGCTCTGCTTCCATTCTAGTCCCCGTACCTGATTCTCCACTGAGCTGCCAGAATTGTCCTTCAGAAATATAAAGCAGGTCATGTTGGTGTCCTGTTCAAAAGCCTCCAGTGGCTCCTCCTCATGGCCAAGCTCACAGGGGCCTGCAAAGCCTCATGAGCTGCCCTCCTCGCTTCAGCACGGCCTCGTTTGCTTTTGCTCGCCCCTTGATACTCCAGCCGAGCCACACTGGGCTCCTAGCTGGGACGGGCTCACCTGCCTCGGGGACCTTGCACCTGTTGTTCTCGATGCCCCCCTGTGCTACCTGGGCCACGCTCACACCTCAGATGCTCCGTGCCTCAGGTCTTCCCTGACCAGGCTTTATATGTAGCTCCCCTCCCTCCCACTGTCCTTTTTTTTTCTGCACACAAAAAATAATGGTATGTAATGACTAAGTGAATTCCTGAGCACTCCCTCCATTACTTTATGTTGAACATCGGGGTGCACTTTGGGGAAGACTCTTGATCTGGGTCTGGATGCTCATGGCAGTCCCCTGACCGGATTGACTGACCAAAGAAAGATACCGTCTTATAAGTACACAGGGTGGAAGTTAATGAGCCTTTCTGGGGATAAAAGCAGTCTACAAAGTGGGTCTGTTACGGCTCCCGTGGACCTAAATCACAGGCTTAATAGGGGAGAAGTTCTGCATGTGGGCAAATGAGTACCAGTGTCAAGTGACCGCATCATCCTCAGTTCAGAAGTGTTCATTCACAGACCGTTTAGATGGAAGTGAAATTGACGGGCTCTGGAAAACTGGCAGCCCGAAGTGGTTCCAGTGATGCAGAGATGCTGATGTGAAAGGCGCAGGTGGTGTATCATGAAGTGTGAGTGGGGAAATGCAGCATTTCTGAACATATGTATGTGACTTGAAATGTGTATAACTAACTTGACAACTATAATTGGTAGGTTTTTTTTTTTTTTTTTAAGATTTATTTATTTATTTGAGAGAGCGAGAGAGTACATGAGAGGGGGGAGGGTTAGAGGGAGAAGCAGGCTCCTCGCCGAGCAGGGAGCCCAATGCGGGACTTGATCCCGGGACTCCAGGATCATGACCTGAGCCGAAGGCAGTCGCTTAACCAACTGAGCCACCCAGGCGCCCCGGTAGGTGTTTGATATGTCATTTATACTTGTGAGAGTTAAACGTTTATGAATTCAAGTCATTACTTTAGGATCTTCAGTTTGGGGAAATGGGCATATATGGTAAATGACCATCTCGTTTCGGGCCACAGAGGGCGCTTCTGGGATGGATCGTGGCTGGTCCGCGGTCCGCCCTCCCCGCCCGCATGTCAGAGGAGCACTCGGGCTCGCTAAGTCTGGTGCTTCTTTCAGATTTCGGAGGCAGCATCAACGTGGAGACCATCAGTACGTTTATCGACGGGGGAGGCAGTGTCCTGGTGGCCGCCAGCTCAGACATTGGTAAGTCTGGCCTGGAAAGGTTTAGTGCTTTCCATCATTTCTCCGGGAAGCTTGGCGAGTTTTACAAATGGAAGCTGCTAGATTGGCGCTCACTGGGCGGGCCTGGGCAGTGAGTGTGGGAACTACAGAGCCATTCAGTCCCTCCTGTGCTTTCCTGTGACCAGAACCAGGGAGATGTGGGGCCTGTTAAGGGCTGGGGACCCTGTTTTTTCCCAATTTTGTTTTGTTTTTGTTCAGGTTGGTGGGGCTTCCCTTACAAAAAGACGACAAGTAGGGGCTACTTGGGCAGACCCCAGAGCATTTTGATAGATTATTTTTTTGTTTCCTATTTTGGCAATTTTCAAAGATGCCTGGCAGTAGGGAGAGAGCAGAATCCTGAAGCCCGCACGCCATCACCCAGCTTCAGCGGGCACAGCACCCGGCCAGTCGGGTTTCGTTTTTCTCGGCATTGACAGATGTTTCTCAGCATTGACAGATGTTTATTTTTTTAAAGATTTTATTTGAGAGAGAGAGAGAGAGAGCACGAGAATGGGGGGAGGGAGAGGGAGAAGCAGACTCCCCACTGAGCAGGGAGCCTGACTTGGGGCTTGAGACCATGACGTGAGCCAAAGGCAGACACTTAACCGACTGAGCCACCCAGGCACCCCAGCATTGCCAGATGTTTAGAACCATTCTGGGTGGGCTTCTTGTTGGGGGTGACGAGGAGGAGAGAAGTCCTGTGAGGCCAGGCTCATCCAGGTCAAGTCTGTCTGAGGTAACTGCTTTGCCCCAACAGGGGTTTTTGTGTATTGTGGGTGGAGGTGGCCAGGTGTCGTTGGTGTTACCCATTCAGATTATGACCCCTGCAGTCAGAATGCCATGCTGTGGTCCTGCGGTCCAGCTGGGCCTGACCTCAGCCAAGTGAAGCTGCAGGGCTCTGGGGGAGAGAGCAAGTCACCAAGATGCCAGGGCAAGTGACCCTGCTTGGGCCAGGGCACACCTGGAAGGGCTGAGTCAGGCATTTCTTGGGTCTGTGCAGGTGATCCTCTTCGAGAGCTGGGCAGTGAGTGTGGGATTGAGTTTGATGAGGAGAAAACGGCTGTCATTGACCATCACAACTATGACATCTCAGACCTTGGCCAGGTAATCAAGCCCTTACAGCAGAGTTCAGCCTGGAAACTGAGAGGAGGTCGGGAGGGAGTGCTTGGCATGGGGGCACCTTTTCCTGACCCCCGTCTTTCCCTCTGCTGCCGCAGCATACGCTCATTGTGGCTGACCCCGAGAACCTGCTGAAGGCCCCAACCATTGTCGGGAGATCATCTCTGAACCCCATCCTCTTTAGAGGTGTTGGGTGAGTGAGCAGGCACAAGTGCTCGAAACCTGGGAAGGACAGGATCGCTTTCTTTTGTTGGGAAAGTAACCCACACTTGATGATTTGGGGCATTCCTTTCCCTGGAGGATGTGGGTGAAGTTGATTGAGGAAACTCAACTTCATTGTTGCAGTGGGAGGAGGGCCGCTGTTGCTGCCAGGGCTTCAGCTGTTGAGAAGGCAGGCCTCCTCCCTGTGAGGAAATGGCCCGTAGGGACCCCAGGTCCTTGGGCTCAGTCCTCAGAGTCCCTGTTGGGTGTTCTCTTTTCCTTCCATAGGATGGTGGCAGATCCTGACAACCCTTTGGTATTGGACATCCTGACGGGCTCTTCCACCTCTTACTCCTTCTTCCCGGATAAACCTATCACCCAGGTGAGGGCCTTTGCAGCCTTGAGGCCTCTAGGTCCTGGACCTGGGGGTAGAGCACTTTATTTGAAAATGAGAAGCGGGGCTCCTGGGTGGCTCAGTCGGTTAAGTATCCGACTCTTGATTGCAGCTCCGGTTGTGAGATTGAGCCCTTTGTTGGGGAGCCTGCTTGAGATTCTCCCTGTGCCCCCTTCTTTCTCTCTCAAAAAGAAAAAAGGCAGCAAGCAGGAGAGCTCACTTTGCGGGGGGCTGGGCAATGAGGGGTTGGTAGAAGCGGGAAGGGGCAGAGGCCACGGGGCCTCAGGTGCCACCATCAGGTAGGACCCAGGTGGTTGTGGTCCAGCTGCTTGTCCTTTGCCTGGGTTCTCCTGGATGACAGCCCCCCGTCGTTCCCAGTACCCCCATGCAGTGGGGAAGAACACCCTGCTCATTGCTGGGCTCCAGGCCAGGAATAACGCCCGGGTCATCTTCAGCGGCTCCCTGGACTTCTTCAGCGACGCGTTCTTCAACTCAGCAGTGCAGAAGGCTGTGCCCGGCTCCCAGAGGTCGGTGCTGGGGGGCTCCGGGGCGTGTGGTCTGGGGCGCTGGGGAAGAAGGAGCCTTTTAGCTGGAGGGGTGCCAGAGGCTAGCTGTCCTCAGGTACTTTAAAATGATTTGAAAACTTGACTTTGTTGCTGTTCTGGTGTCGGCGCTGCGGACTTTTCAGGGTAGTAATGGCTTATCTGGACGTGGTTCGACGTGTATGTATTATACAGGCGACCCCCAGAGCAGCACCACCTGACAGCTCTTCCGTGTTCCCTTTAAGCAGGCTACCTCGATATGTCCGGCCCCCAGGCAGAAACTGGTTTTGTGCAGTTTCTCTCGATGACTAGGGACTCGTCTCGCCTCTCAGGCACCGCTGCGGAGAGAAGCTGGTTCTGGTGCTCTAGCCTCTCGTTTTCCCCTCGTGCAGGTATTCCCAGACAGGCAACTACGAGCTAGCTCTGGCCCTCTCCCGCTGGGTGTTCAAGGAGGAAGGGGTCCTCCGTGTGGGGCCCGTGTCCCACCATCGGGTGGGTGAGACAGCCCCACCCAACGCCTACACGGTCACTGACCTCGTGGTAAGAGCGTCTTGGAGCAGGAGGGCCCCCTGGCGTTTGGGCCACGTTGCTTCAGCTTGAAAGCCTTTTTTGAACGTTTCTCTGATGGGCTTAGTGGCCTAAATAAGAAGATGCATCTCTATCCCTAAGAACATCAGTGTGGGTGCAGAGCACCCGGCACATGAGCTGACGGCTAAGGAGACCTTCTTCTGAAGGGCCTTGGCTTTGCTGTGCAAGTGCAGGAGCGGGAGGGCTTCGCGGGCGCACGCTGCTGGGAGCCGGGGTCACTGGGGGAACACTGGAGTCGGGTCTGGAGGATGAAAAGGGGTAGGGAAGGCGGCAGCAGGGAGGCCCGAGAGCACCCGGCCCACTTGCGAGTGGAGTGGTCTGGGTGCAGACGTGGATGGTCCTGTGCCGAGCCGTGGCTGGGAGTTCCCGGCCCGGGGTGGCTGGTGGGGGGCTCGCCCTGGAGTTCCTGCCAGGCTCACGAGTGGTTCGGGGCAGCTCTGAGGGTGGTCGCCCCCACCCCCGGCTAACCAGCCTGTTGTCTCAGGAGTACAGCATTGTGATCGAGCAGCTCTCAAATGGCAGATGGGTCCCCTTTGACGGTGATGACATTCAGCTGGAGTTTGTCCGCATCGATCCTTTTGTGAGGACGTTCTTGAAGAAGAAAGGCAAGTAATGGTGGTGCCGGGAAAGCTGCGGGACGACAGGCCCACTGTGGCGTTGCTCTCGTGAGGCAGCAAACCCCTCCCGGTGATGGTCTCGGCTCTTCCCCAGGTGGCAAGTACAGCGTCCAGTTCAAGTTGCCTGATGTGTACGGAGTGTTCCAGTTTAAAGTGGATTACAACCGGCTGGGCTACACGCACTTACACTCTTCCACTCAGGTGAGCGTAAGTCACAGTCCCCTTTTTGGCCACAGGGTGGCCCGGACCTGTCACCTCTGTCCTGTTCTAGGTGTCCGTGAGGCCACTGCAGCACACGCAGTACGAGCGCTTCATCCCCTCGGCCTACCCCTACTACGCCAGTGCCTTCTCCATGATGCTGGGGCTCTTCATCTTCAGCACAGTCTTCTTACACATGAAGGAGAAGGAGAAGTCTGACTGAGGGGGCAGAGCCCTGGGACTCCTTAAGACACGCAGATGGGGGTTATGTAGGATTGGGTCTTCCTTTATGGTGTTTTGTTTCTTGTTTTTTGTTTTTTATAAAGCTGTGTGACCATGACGCAACCTTACCTCAGGGGGAGATGCAGCATTGAGTACCAAGGGGTGGGGGTGGGGGACTGATTTTTATGTGTGTTTTTCCACCTAACGCCAAGTGGTATTTTTCATATGTGGTCACATTCATTTCTAAGATAAACATTGCCCTCCAACTTCGTCTGGCCCGTGTGCTTTGCTGTGGTGGGGATGCTGTTCAGTAATGGTGAGACACAAAACAGTGTCGCATTTCCCTTAAGCATGAAATCCTAAAACTTCGAGGGAGAGGACATGGTTAATAATACACCAAGGTGTCTGACTTTCCAATAGGATTACAGAGTTGACGTGTATGTTCACCTTGCTTTAAGCAGTAGTTGAATTTCTAAAAAGCATGTGTAAAATTTATGTGAAATCCCTTCCCCACTGTTGATCTCTACTCACAGAATTTTCCTGGCTTTATTAGGTTGTAAGAATCACTCTTAAAGCCACATATTCAATTCAAAGCAAGTATGTGTTCTTCAGTTGTAAATGAGCATTTAATTCTTCACAATTCCTGTAAGAGATGCTAGTCAAAAGGCAAATCAGCAGTAAAACAACACACTGTTAATTTCCATTTCATCATTGCTTCTAGCTCTGTTAGACTTGATTCAGTAGCTGGAGGAAGCTGTGCGGAAGTGCTTCCTCAGAGACCCCCCTGCCCCCCGCCGCCTCCCCAAGCTTTCCAGGCCCCACTGGCTGTCTCTTCATTCTGATACCTGAATATACTGACCAAATACAGCGTCCAGTTCAGAAAACATGCAGACCGAGGTCCTGGCTGCCACTTTCAAACAAGCCAGAGTTCATTCCTGGAGTCCCGTGCTGCCTGGACCCTCACAGGGGTCTGGGAGGCTGGTAGGGCTTTTTGGCCCACAGTTAACCAGTTCCGGACCCTCTTTTCACCTGCTGAACTCTTGTGGATTTGTATTCCGATCTTTCTTACACATTGTTAGCACTTACACACAGGGGGCCTAGTGGTTACTTATTTCTTTTTAGTTAGGCCCTTTGGATTCATCTAGACCAGGGGTTGGCAAACCATGGCTTGGCCAGTCTGGCCTGCAAGCCAAAAGTGGTTTTCACATTTTTAAATAGTTGAAAAAAAAATTTAGAAGAATATTTAGTGACACATGAAATTCAAATTTCAGTGTATTTACGCATTTTGGACTGCTTTTGTGCTCTAACAACGGGGAGTAGCCGTGACAGCTGCGGTATTTACCACGAGCCCTGTGCAGAGAGCCGCCAGCCCCTCGGGCTCCGCGCTGGTCCAGTTCTCTCAGCACAGGTGAGAACCTCATGCAGGTTACACGGTGCACCTAAAATTGCACAGCTCAGGTGAGTTAGTAGCTACAGACCGTGACCTTTGCCACCAGCTGTTCCTTCTACCTGCCAAGCCCGAGGCCTTATCTCTAGCGCCGCCCGCAGCCCTCACAGACCAGCACCACACACAGGTTGCGAAGTTCTTTTAGTGATACGCCAGCGACAGCAGAGCCCTCACGGGGCTGCTCTCCAGGAGAAGAGGAGCAGGGCTGCCCGGCACAGCGCTTCGTACTCCAGGTTGGCCAGAAATAACATCTTCATCTTGGTTTCCACACAGCTCCTCTCTGTGAGCCTATCAGCCAGCAGAGTGGCAGCTGACTGTTGCAGGAGCCAGCCAATCATCTTGTCTAGTTTTAGATTCTTCAGGGCTAGAGTATGTTCACCCCAGAGGCTTAAATGAAGTACATTAGCAGCTACTCGGGCAGATGGTCTCTGCAACAGGCAGGGAAGCAGAAGCTTAGAACATCCTTGGCAAAGCATTCAACACAAAACCTGATTTAATGAATTCTTATTTTAGGGTCTTCCCTTCTCTGGCCCCAATCAAATTCTTGTCCACCCCTTTGTCTCTCCTTCCTGTAACACCATTCACTCACCTGACACCTGCTGGCTGCTCTCTACCCCGTTCCAGGCTTTTCCAGGTGCACACATGTGCCCCAGGCAGTCTGCATTGTTGAAATAGCCTCCCCATCAAGGAAGGCCCACAAACTGCCTGGGTCCTGGCACCCTCTGGAGTGCGGGGTCCTCTCATCACTTCGTAACTGGTAGCAGTGAGCACGAGCTGTGGCCCTGCCAGCATGCTGCCCAGTGGAAGGAAGTGGTAGAACAGTAGCTTGAGCCCTGTCTGCCTTTGTGGGCCTGCCATGCCCGATCACGGCTTCAAACTGGCTAGCCTTTATTTTCCCTTATTAATTTCGAAATGTCCAGATCTGCTCTTGGGAGAGGCCTTCACATCTGTCTCATTAGGTGTCAACTGTTCCTATAAACTACAACTCCAGTAAACATTTCTTAAAAATAGATCTTCTTCTAAGTAACTTAAACCACTAAAGCCAAGAAGAGTTGCACTGCTGGAATTCTAATTTGCTGGCCAGCTCCCCTAGTCCTGTCCATACTGGTTTGTTCTCCTGTACTTGGCCTTTATCTTTGTAAGAGGAGCCATCTGTCACTCTAGTCTTGCCCAAACCTGATCTTTACAATGGAACACAGACTTCCACAATCCCTGCAAACCCGGGGACGGCCTTACCTTGCTGGCCTCTCGCTGGAGCAGTGACCTCACCAGCTGTCTTGCATCTAGAGGCACCGACTCGGGCAGTGTGGGCAGCTGAGCCTCCTGGTAACTGCGGCTTTCAAGGTGGGCCCCGCCCTGGCCATAGAAGGGGTTGGAGAGCCCGAAGATTTCGTAGGCGAGCGCGCCGACAGCCCAGGCATCCGCCTTGCTGTAGTCGATCACCGCCTTGGGGCCAGGGCAGGCGGTGGACACCTGCTTGGAAAGCAACAGGTGAGCTTCGAGTTGCTGGCATTCCTAACGTATTCGTGTACCTACACAGCACCCGACTCACGGGCGAATCTGAACTCCGTCCCAAGGAATCCAGAATGTGAGTGCGCTGTGGCTCAGACCCAGAAGAATCTGCTTAGGCCGCCTACTCTGTGCTGACAAAACGCACATCTGTGAACATTAGGGAGGGCCAGATTCACAGGGCAAGGGACTTGTGCCAAATTAAGGGTCAGAAAAGATAGAGGTGCTGAGTAGGTAATGAGGCAGCGAGTCTTGTCCTCTCAGTCAGCGGAAACAAGATGGAGAAGTCTGCTGACAGCACAGGCCAGCTCGTCGGGACTCACCTCTGGAGCCATCAGGCAGCCGTTTCCGCCCCGATCCACAGACCAGCTGGTGAAAGGCAGCCGCAGGCCGGTGCGCTCGTCAGCCAGGCAGCAGCCGAAGTCTGTGATCACCAGCCAGGGGCAGCCATCTGGGGAGGGGACGGGCAGAGAGGAGTGATGATTCTCTCCTCCGAGAGGCCTTCGCAGGAGCCCTACTACAGACACCAAGATGTGGGTGAGGGGCTAACAGGGACGCAGTATCAGCCCAGGAATGCGGTGGGTGGCCACTCCCCGGAGCGCTCAATGGGAGGCCAGCTACAGGAGCACGAAGATGCCTCCGGGGAAACCAAAGCCCTCAAGCAAAGAACTGGATAGAAGTTGGGCTCAATGTAACTGATCAGTAATCGGAGCTATCCCAAGACTGAAGGAGCTGCTCCTGGTTTGCTCAGTAGATGGCGCTTAGCTCTAAGAGCTCTCATGCCCCAAATATCTTTGATCTGAACTTGAAACCCCAAGTCCAAACCTAAGAAACAGGTTCGTTAGGATTTAGTTATTTGTAAGAGGATTCACACAGACTTCCTTTAAAAAACTAGTTCCTCTAGCAATTTAATGGCACATTACTTTAAATCTTATAGCTCAAAATCTACCCAATCTGACTCTCCTTTAAAATATCGCAGGTTAAGTGGCCATCCAGCCTCTACTTCAGTGCTTCCCGTGTGGGGAACTGGGGAACTCATTATTTCCAGGGGCAGCTGGGCTTACATTTGGACAGCTCTCACTGTTTGAAAATTCTTTTTTCTACTGAGCTAAGTCTACCTCTCTTTTCTTTGAGAAAACTTCCACCACCGAGGTTTTTGTTCTGTAAGTGGGCAACAGAAAGGAACTCTCGGGGACTATTAACCATCATTCCACAAGCCCCACCAAGAGAATGAAAGCCTCCATTTTGAAGGAGAGATTGCTCATCTCTTGGGTATAGAGCTAAATTAAGATACAACTTCTAATAGGACATAAAACCCAAAAGGACTGGAGGGGTCCTAAGTGTCTGCAGACCTGAAGTCTGGTGCCCCTGGAGGGCTGGGAAGGTGCGGCCAGGACCCACCTGCGTCCAACTCCACGAGAATGTTGTCAGATTTTAAGTCTCTGTGCGCGACGCCCTGTTGAACCAGATGATCCACCGCCTCCAGCAGCTGCAAGATCATCACGGTGGCGAGGCGGGGGCTTGGGGTGTTCTCACGAAGGTACTGGCGCAGTGTGCAGGGATAGCTGGTGGAGAGGGTGACAGGGCCTCTGGCTGTCGCACATCAGTGGTCCCCCAGCATCTTATTTACTATTAGGATGATGGGCCTTCCTCTTCCTCAAGTTTTTTGATCTTTTTCCCCGAGCATTCTTTCTGTTACCACCCACCATCCTCAAGTTAGGAAGGGAGAGCTGGGGCCCCACATGATGGAAGTAATGGAACAGATACTCCTTCCTCATGCCAGTGACAGCAACGCCAGGAGGTGTAGAGGGTTGGGGAGGAGAACTGGTTTTACACAACTGGTAGGCAAGCCACAGAGGGAGCAAGAGTCAAATGGACTAAAAATACCAGTGAGGACCAGGTTCTGAATGAAGAGGAGACTCCGGTTTCATGAAAAGTCACTCCAAAGGGACCCCGCTTTCTGGGACAGTAAGGGGTGAGGGTCCTCTTCCCTGCCACCCCGTGCTTCCAGGTGCACAGAGGCACCCCCAGCTCCTACTTACTTCTTCATAACGAGGAAGAGCGTCCGCCCGTGGCCCAGGCCTTCGGGGTGAAGATGTGGGGGCAGCACATCAGGGTAGTCGACCAGGGCCCCTGGCAGCAGTGGTACAGAAGAGGTGAAGGCGCGAAAGACCCGGATGATGTTGGGGTGAGGGGCCAGTTGCTTGGGACCTCCCTTGGATCTTCTATTTCAGCCAAATGGGAGAGTCCAGTATCAGATACAACAGTTGGAAAGATAATTATGCCATGATAAATACTGACATTCACCCATTTTTTAATTTATCAAACATGTACTATAGATCTGCTATGTGTCAGGTGCAGAACCTGGTGTTAGAGCGAAAAAACAAACCCATAAAAATGACTTGTCACATTTGAGGACTCTGCTCTGTCCACCTGTCCATCCATCAATCCCATGCAGCAGAATACAGTGGTTAAGAGACTGGAATCAGACTATATGGCTTGAATTCCAGGTCTGCTACTGTAAGCCCCTGGCCAGGTTACTTCTCTGGGCTCAGTCTCAATTGCCAAAGGGAGTAAGGCAATAACATAAGTTTTAAGGTTAATACTTACATAAAGGACACATAATTTCTGATGGCAAGTTCTAGCATAACCCTTAAAGTGTAGTATGAGCTCAAACCTTTGTTGAGGGGCACCTGGGTAGCTCAGTCGGTAAAGCATCTGCCTTCAGCTCAGGTCATGATCCCCAGATCCTGGGATGGAGCCCTGCATCTGGCTCCCTGCTCAGCAGGGTGTCTGCTTCTCCCTCTCCCACTCCCCCTCCCCCTGCTTGTGTGCTCTCTCTCTCACGCTCTCTCAAATAAATAAAATCTTAAAAAAAAAAAAACCCACAAAACCTTTGCTGAATGAACGAACAACGGACACAGAGGCAGTTTGTAGTACATCAGTCACCTGCCCATCCACCCCTCCTCCTCGGGGAGCCCCACACCCACAGCCCTGGTAAGGCACAGTGGCTGTGTTCTGGATGGTGTGCGTCAGCCTATGTCTCAGCCCCACCCCTCAGCCCGTACTCTCACTGGGTGGGCACCTGGCCTCAGGGCAAGGAGCCTGCAGTCACATCTGAGATACAAATGGTTGGTGGGAAAAGGGATGGGGGCCAGTTCAATTCTCTTTTTGAGGAGCACCAGTGGAAAAAACATGGTAGTAACTTAGCAGTCAGCAATGGAGCTGAAGGTGAAGGATGCCATGAGACTTGATTGGGGCCATGGGAAGCCAGAGATGTAGAAACCAAAGGCACACAGACATGGAAGAGCTATGGGGTAAGAAATAAGGACACTGGGGTGGCAGCAGAGAATGGAGCAGAAGCCCAGAGACATGAAGACAACACTGAGGGAGCAAGATGCCCGCCCCCATCTTAAGATCTGCCTCAGTTCCCGAGCTCTGCGGAGTCAGTCCATGTGTGGCCTACTGCTCTTTCTCTTGAGTCCATCTGAGTGCACCCCTGCAAGCAATCAAGGGAGTTGAAACGTTCCTAGCCTTGGGCTACTGGGGCTAGAATCAGGATCCTAGCTCGAGGCTGTCCATGTCACAGTGGGGAAAGCTCTGCCCGGTTGTCGTGGGAGCCCACGGGAGGAGTGTGGCTGTGTGAGGTATGTGTATGGGGGGGTGTGTTTGAACTGAGACGAGTGGGACAGGAGGCTGTGGGGAGGGCGGCCCAAGGAGAGCTAACTGCGTGTACAGAAGACAGGCATGGAGGAGCGTGGTGCATGTGGGGGAGGGCAGTATGAATTCAGTATGGTAGAGCACAGGGTGTAAATGGGACAAGATCAGAGATCAGGTGGGAGAGGAAGGAGGAGCAGATCACAAGGGCCGAGCCTGAGTCCCCAGATGAGCAGAGGCTAGATGGAAATATGCCCAGAGTGCTCTCAGGGACTGAGTCACTGATGTCATCAGTACTTTAGGTAATAGACCTTCTGTCAAATTCATGGGATCATTCGACGGACATTTACTGAGCTGTAGGGGTACAGAGCCAACAAAACAGGAAAGCCCTGCCCTCAGAGTGCTCGTAGTACAACGGGAGAGGCAGGATAGACAAAGCCATCTATGATTTACGGTCAGATGGTGATAAATGCTATGAAAACACCGCAAGCGGGGGAAGGGGCCGGAGGCCGGCAGGGAGGACTGCAGATGGGAGGTCTGCATCAGCAGGCCAGACACAGAACCGCCGGAGGGAACCCCCCCGCCCCCCGGCAACAGCCATTCCCTACCAAGGGCCAAGGAGCGGAGGACACCAAGCCCACCGAGCTTCTGTCGGCCGGCATGGCGGCCCCTCAGGCACAGGAGAGCCTTCCAAACCACGGAAGCCGCTTTCCATGTGCTTTCTCGAGTCCCTGTGCCTGCCCTCCCGCTTCTGACAGCACTAGGTCTAGAAACCACCCACTAGTGAGCTGCCAAGACGCAGCTCTTCCCGATGGTCTGCAAATACGAGAGGGAGCACACTGTCGCACGCCTGGCACCGCACTGGGTCGCACGCGCAGCATTCATCTTCGCCGCCGTACACAGAGCCTACAAAGAGCTAGGAGCGCGGGCTGCCATCCGCCCCCTCTTCCCTCTGCGGAGTGGCCTCTTTGCTCACCTCTCTGCCCAGGTGGTGCCTATTCATCTTCAAAAGGCAGCAATGATGGTCCCTTCGAGAGGCCTTTCCAAATGGGCTCCCCTCAGCACCTGAGCATCCATGATTCTAGCACTTACCACCCTGACCTCTGCTCCCAACTTGTCTCGTTCCTCTGCCACACACAGAACTCTTGAGAACAGGCCACATTTTTTTTAAAAGCTCTCGGCACTGCCAAGACTGGAATGAGTGTTGCCTGCGCAGGGGCCAGAGTTCAGCTGGTATGGATGAGTGGCGTTCCCCCTGGGCATTACTTAACAACCAGAAGTCAGATCAATTTTCCAACATTCTGAATTGGGCATTTTGGGACAGCCTCTCTCTGCTCCACTGTGAATCAGCCACCTGCATCTTCAGTCGGAGTCAGATGATCTGCAATCTTTCCCAAGCTGAATTATCCAACAACTACAAAGCCACCATTAACCACATCACTCAGTGAGCATGTCCATCAGACACCGCTCTGTGGACACAGGTGAGGATTTTGCTCTCAAAGAACTCACAGCCAGTCTGGTGGGCAGATGAGTGCTTACCTGTAAGTGACTGCTCCGTACTCCCCGCCCAAGGCCACTCGACTAGCTGGGACTAGCTCCTGGCTCATCGTCCTACAGATGGCTTCACTGGAGGAGCCTGCCTGGAACACAATCATGAATTCAGGGTTATACAGACCGGAGCAGGTCCAAGTCCTCCTTGTTATCTGGACCAGACAGCTACTGCCTAGAATTGTTTAAGATTTTATTTTTAAGTAATCTCTACACGCAATGGTGGGGCTTGAACTCACAACCCCAAAATCAAGAGTTGCACACTCCACCGACTGAACCAGCCAGGTACTCCTAGAATTGGTTTTGACATTCAAGATAAAAGATAAACTCTCTGGGGGTGCTTGGGTGGCTCAGGTCATGATCTCAGGGTCCTGGGATTGAGCCCCACGTCGGGATCCCTGCTCCGTGGGGAGTCTGCTTGTCCCTCTCCCTCTGCTCCTCCCCCTGCTCATGCTCTGTCTCTCAAATAAATAAAATCTTAAAAAAAAAAAAAAGATAAACTCTCTGAAATAGCAAGCCAAGCTACTCTCTCCTGGGAGAGAGAGGCAGAGAATCCGTCTGTGCCAACTCCCAGGGGGCTTCAACATCACATCTCAAACTCTTGGCAGTTCGGGTGCCCAGGGCAGGAAGAGATGGCAAGATAGGGTGAGGGACCCTTCTTCCTGCCATCAATGCCTCCGGTCACCACCAGGCTCAAACTGGCCACTGGGTCACTAAGACTACCCCCAGCAGGCTGCCTTCAGCGGACAGGCAGAGCCAGACAAATCTGCCTTGGATAAGGTTGTGCTGAATCACAGGACGACCTTCCCCAGCCCCTCAGTAAAAAGGAACAACGGCAAGAACCAAAGATGAGCAAAAGCACCCATTTTCCTTATTTCATTACAAAGGTCTCTCCAAGCCTGTGGAACCCATTAGGAACCCTCTAGGAGTCAAGTCATTTAGCTTTTATGTGTGCAACAGTCAGCATGCCCATCTGGAAGTTCTGATGCTAACCCTGGCTGTTTCACAGGCAAAGGCCTTGGCTACTTGTTAGCTAATCACCTAGCTCGGAAAGGCAAGAGTCTAATAACCTTCATCCCCCAGGTCAAAACCAGAAACTGCATTCTTCAGTGTCTAGCATGAGCTGCCATGGCTGTGTCCCACCTTAGGCTTGGGCGGATGCTCTGGGCAGGAGAAAGAACATCGCATCTTAATTTTCTAAACCCACCTATACAGCAAGAAGAGAAAGAAATTGCTCTAGACGAAATCTTTGTTTTTGTGGAGGGAAAACACTCAATTTCCCTAAGCCTTGAGTCCTCCCAGAGTTGAGAGCAGGGAGGTGACAAACAAGCCTTTGATTTGGAGGGGAGGTTGAAGGGGAGTCTGGAGGATAGGAGTGTGGCCTCTCCTCTCCAGTGAGGCAGGTCAGGGGAGCGAAAGAGGGAGGATGGTGGGAACGGCAGGCCCGAATTCAGCTAACTGGATCAGCTAACTGGATCATGAGGAACCAGGGGCTCAGGCACCTGCTGCTGTGTGTGGACCAGACCAGAAGCGTGGGCATCACCTGGGAGCTGGTTAGAAAGGCAGAATCCCAGCTCCCATCCCAGGCCAGCTGAGCAGAATCTGCCTTTTAACTGGATCCTCAGGTGACTGGTAGACATTACAGTCTGAAACTGCTTCAGACTCTTGCATGAGAGGGCAAGGAAGCCTAACTATACAGGCGCCCATATGCTGTGGACAGCCCGCCCGTCTACCTCCTGGGAAAAAGCACTAGCAGGTTCACCAAGACCGGGGGTTGTTTTTTTTTTTTTTTTTTAAAGATTTTATTTATTTATTTGAGAGAGAGAGATTACAAGCAGGGGGAGGAGCAGAGGGAGAGGCAGACTCCTCTGCCAAGCAGGGAGCCCACAGGATCCCAGAACCTGGGATCACGACCTGAGCCGAAAGCAGATGCTTAGCCGACTGGGCCACCCAGGTGCCCGTGGTGTTTTGAGAAATGCCCAATTCAAAGATGAAAGGCCCCCTTCTCACCGAGATATTCCACATCATTTTGATGGCTAAGGGAAAGGCAGGGGCCTGGGAGGCTGGCTCCTCTTCTCGTGGAACGACATCCGGGCCTCTGCCTGGAAGAGGCCTGATGCTCTTCACCACCTCCAGGTTCTGGGGCAACACAGGCATGGTGGCTTCATACACAGCAGCACTGCAGCCCTTGCCAATGAACTGCCCTATCAGATACTCCTCCAGCCGGAAGCCCCGCCGGCATCTGGTGTCCAAGGGGTCAGGCAGCAGCTTGTTTTTCTGGGTAAAAATTGCCTGTGAGGAACAAAACACGCACGATGAGCCAGGATGCCTAGTAAGGCTCAAGGGCAGTGGGGGAGGGGAGAGGGAGAGCCAGGCAAGGTCTTCACTGACAAGATCAAGAGCTAGTAAAAACACAACCAAATTGGGTTTTACTGCTCATCCTGGGCTTAGGCCAAGCTACCTCTCTCTCCCATTATTCAGAATAATTTTTTCTCAAACTCTGTACCTTCACTGCAGTCAGAGAACACTGCAAAACTTCTCACCTCTGCAGCTGGCCCGCCTTACCTGCCAAGCTGCCCGCACAATGTTGGAGGCTTCTGATTACAGAGACAGCTCTCTGGGCAAGGGCCTTGGCAGGCAGCTACTGGATGGTTCTCGGGAGCTATGGAGGGGCAGCTCTCCTCAGATCTTCAGAGGAATACTAGGGCTGATGTTTGGTTAAGGCTTTGTCTGCTACCAGAGCCACTAATAAGGGTTTTGGAGTCTGTGTGGGGGCCGCTCTCCTGGCGCCTTGATCTGCCCGATTGTTCCCTTGGGCAATCAAGCAGTCCCATTTCTGGTGTCCTTGGCAGCAGACAACAGCTCCTTCTTGGGTTCCAAACAGCTCTAATAATTATAAAATACCTGAAGTCTACCTCCAGTTGTCTAGCTTCAGTTTGCAGGGTTTCAGGAAAAAGGGCAGCTTTAGGGAATGGGAGAAAATTGGAAACCTTAGTTTTGGAAAATCATAACCAGATACTGGAGGAAACCAAAATTCAGGATCCAGCCCAGTTTTAGAGGCAAACAACAAAGAGCCAAAGACAGTTACTCTAACTTCCACAAATGTGTGATTTCTCTTTCTAAAATCACCCTCATTTCCACCCAAGATAGCCAAAGTAAGACTCCAGTTTTAACAATCTTGGCCTATTTATTTACATAAGTGCTGCAAGAATAAATAGTGATTGGCCATATAGGGTTTGCTTTATTTTTAAACAGAAAATCTGCTTTGCTGGAACTTTTCATAAGGAATTTCAGACTGAACTTTTAATAGTCTCTCAAGCCTAAGAAGCCAAGCCAAATACTTGTCATCAGACTTTGCCTGCAATACCTACAGATTTGGGTAAATTCCTCTCTTCTTGAGGTTCCCAAAATAACCTGAGGTTCCTGCACCTGCCAGGAAGTGACTTTCTTTATTCACCTGGTAAGGCTGCTGGGCACCCTATAAGCAAGGTACGAGGCTGATTTTTCCAAGGGGCTTCACTGACTCCATAAAGTCAACCTTAGTTCCTTAAAACTGTCTGGTCATATCTGAGTCTATGCATGTCACCCTCAAAGAGGACATTCCAGCCAAAGCATTGATAATATAACCAATGTTTCCAACTGTGTCCTATCATAAGAGCAGATTCTTACTGAACTTATGCAAACAAATACACTGCCATGAATACATAATACTGAGAGTTTCTGAATCTGGAGGGATCAGGTGGGAAGAAAAAGATAAATGTTTCGTATCTGTTTACAAAGGACTATTTTACCAAATTTCTGCAAGTCATACAGCTTAAGAGAAAAAGTTTCCTTAAATCTGGAAAAGCAAACATTAAAGAACCAGGAACATTTCAAACAAGAGTAATCATCTTCCTTAATTCACTCAGTCCCATATTACTAATTCTTGTTCTGCTTCAATGCAGTTTTCCTGTTAGTTCCAGAAATTCTTACTCAATTTAGTTTTACGATTTTAAAGGTATCAGAGACCTGTACTTGTCAAAAGTCCTTTCCACGAATCTCCTTGAAGCTGAAACATATTTGTAACAGCATCAGAGTAAAACAATGACTGTAAATGACAAAAAGACACAAAAATGGCCATGGTTTTTCTGTGACACACAATGCTTCAATAACTAGAATAAGTGATGACATTATACCAGGACATATCAAAATCTTGGGAATTTTATATAATTTCTGGAATTTCTTAGATTATATAACATAATCTAAGGTTTATCACCACTTATTTGACAATGCTTCCCATGTAATATGACATACCAAATGAACAAGTCTCGTTAATAACAAGATTTCATTTAGAAGTTGAATCTTGGGAATTTGGTCAAAAATATCATAAGGTTTTAAAGCACATGCCTAAAGAGGATTACAGATCATTACAAAACTTAATAATTACCTATTTAACCAAGGTGGCATTAAGATTCTAAAGGCAAACAGAGCTCTCTGAAGAGCAAAACTTAGCTCTTTTAAGATTCAACTGTCTGAAATAATCAAAGACCTAATAAAGACAAAACATGGAAACTTTTCTTCTAGGAAAATTAAAGACAAAGACAAAAGGCCTTTGTTTATAATTTCTTAAGAGTAGACCAATATGGGATGCCTGGGTGGCTCAATCAGTGGGCATCTGTCTTCAGTTCAGGTCATGATCCCAGAGTCCTGGGGTCGAGTCCCGCATTGGGCTCCTTGCTCAGTGGGGAGCCTGCTTCTCCCTCTGCCTGCCACTCCCCCTGCTTGTTGTGCTCCCCCTCTCTCTCCAACAAATAAAAACTTTTTTTTTTTAAAGATTTTATTTATTTATTTGCGAGAGAGAGAGTGAAAGACAGAGAGCATGAGAGGGAGGAGGGTCAGAGGGAGAAGCAGACTCCCCGCTGAGCAGGGAGCCCGATGCGGGACTCGATCCCGGGACTCCAGGATCATGACCTGAGCCGAAGGCAGTCGCTTAACCGACTGAGCCACCCAGGCGCCCAATAAATAAAATCTTTAAAAAAAAAAAAAAAGAATAGACCAGTAACTAAGAAAATAGTCATTTTAATAGGAAAACCAAATTCCAATCTTGTATTGATGTACTTTTTTTTCCATCTTCTTTTTTTTTTTTAGATTTTATTTATTTATTTGTCAGAGAGAGCGCAAGCAGGGGGAGAAGCAGGCTCCCCGCTGAGCAATGAGCCCGATGTGGGACTTGATTCCAGGACCCTGGGACCATGACCCCAGCCAAAAGCAGATGCTCAACCGACTGAGCCACCCAGGCATCCCATATTGATGTACTTCTGCGAGTAAAACTCATTCATTCCAACAAGATGAAATTTTAAAAAAATGTATGTTGTCCCTCCCTGTCACGGCCCATGTTGACGTATACTCATTGAGACAGGGCCAACCAGGGTGCTGCATGGATTTGAGCCTTTGTGGTGGGTGCTGCGATGTGCTGGCCAGAATCTCCATCAGGAATGAATGACCTTCAGCTGTGGGAATTGCCAACAGTCCTCAGCTCTCGGTGGTCATCAGGGAGGGCCCTGACTGAAGACAGCCGCCTTGCTAAGGTCATGCTCTTCCTAGGTGGTCCCGGTCCAATGACTGTTCATAGGAGTATATAAAATCCAGCCGTATGCCCCAATTTCGGATGGTTCTGAAGGGTAATCCGGCCTTTGACTCCTTAGAGAAGAGGCTGAGGCTTCTGTTGATGTTGTATCACTGCTCGACCTCTGCCTGGTCCTGTTCTCTTAACCATCTGTCTCGTCCTGTCTCTTCCCCAGCTGTCGATCATTCCCTAATAAACTTCTTGACTAATCTCCATAATCGTGGTCCCGACCATCCACAAAATTCCTTTCCAAAGATTCCCTTCTCATAGATCTTCTACAACTTTTCTTCTTATATTCAGTTTTGTCCTAAGTTTTCCTTCTTTAAATAATCAGTCACACTTTCCTTACATAGAGTTGTTTCCCTTAATAGAAGCCAAAAACAAATCTATGTTTGTTCTCAACAATTATGTTATGTTTAGATTATCCATGATACTTTATAACATGAACCTGACTTTTAGTAAATACAGGCAGAACAAAAGTTCTACCTCTACTACTGGCAACTTTAAAAACATGTCCATTGTAATTAAACCAACAACCTTAAATTAGCTTTAATATTGAATGTTTTCCCAGATCACATGAACTTGGAAGTATTTTTCTTGGTATTGGAATGCCCAATTCTTTTTTTTTTTTTTTTAAAGATTTTATTTATTAGAGAGAGAGGAGAGAGCACAGAGGGAGAAGCAGACTCCCTGCGGGGCTCGACCCCAGGACCCCAAGATCATGACCTGAGCCGAAGACAGATGCTTAACCGAGATACCTAGGCGCCCCTGGAATGCCCAATTCTTACAACTACTTGCCTTTACACCAACTAAATTGAGCTCTTTTACAAATTAATTTTAGCAACACCATCCAGAGGTAGAGAAAAAAAATCTCACATTTACAACATCCATACATGGACACACAAATACACAAACGAGATGCAAACAAAATCTTAAAGGCCCAATTTCCAAATATATCATAATTTATGGCTCCATTAATTGGGCATTTTTCTCCAGTCTAATGAATATTATTAAGCAGTGTTGCAAAACAAAGACTGCCCAAGTTTGGGCTGCATTGGGGAATCAAATTCACTTTCCATTTTCCAATTAGAACATGGCTGGTTTTGTCCAAAAATACCAAAAGCTGAAGCAACAGACAAACCAAATGGAGCCCTGAGTACCTCTGCGAGCACGGGTTCCTCCCCCAAAGCCAGGGCTTCACCTACTGAACGGAGCAGCTCCCTAGTCAACTCTCAGATGAGGAGGCCAATGCTCAGAGATCCACACCAATCCCCCTATTTGGAGGCAACCCACCAGGAAGAGGAAATAAGCTCACATGGCCTTGCACACGAAAGACTCACCGAGACCCGTGTCCAAACCGAAGCCAAAAACTGCTTCCTTGCTGCAAGAGTTAAATTAGGTGCCCAAGGCTGGCAGTGCCCAGTGGGGGTGGGACTTGGGACGGTCCCTAGGACAAAGAGCCCAGGCAGTCTCTCGGACTGGTCACCGCATTCCCCGTACTGGCTGGGGTCTGACCAGCCACAGGCTAAGCGCTCCCTCTGACTCGCAGCAAAATCACTCAGACAGCCAGTGCAGCAAGGTAAGGGTTTTGGTTTTTTTTTGAGAGGCCACCAAATAAGGACATGGGGGAAGAAGCCTCAAATCTGCCTCCCTGGAGGAGGAGAGTGAGCGATATTTCAAAGCAAGT